GGGTGGAACGGGGTCTGCTTTGATCTTGCAGCCAATCCAGAGTACTTTTTCTGACCTGTGGCTAAACTTTCAATAACAATTCATTAGAAAATAATATTACAAAATAATTACGGATATTTCAATTTTTATTAGCAGAGTCATCAGACATCTTTACATAAATATTCCCTCTAGACTTTTTATGTTCCACGAGTAAATAAAGCTTCAAGAATCGAGTGCAGTCGCCCACTTTGTAAACAGAACGCAAATGCAACAACAACAAAAACACAACGATAGACGCCAACATCGTCCGTACCAAGCTCGACAGCAAAATACTGTTGTTGCCCCAAAAACAAACTAAAAAAAATCAAGAAACTACGTCTATCTCGACACACCGAATAGCTAATACCCTTGCAGACACTTTCCTTACGGCTTTGCTTGTAAGTAATATCTCGGAAAGCAGTAAACTTAATCATCCAAAATGTATTTTTCGACCGACTCTTCCTATCTCTATATAATATAGTAGTGGGGCAATTTAGATAAGATTTGGCTCAATATATACTGCTGATAGGATTTTGCATACATTTAAGGAGCAGAGTGAAACCTACAAAAGCCAAGGTAGTTCAAGATATCTTGAAAGACAAAAAAGATTTTTTTTACGGGAACTTAATTTCGATATTTTCTATGGCAGTTATATTATCAGATAATAGCTTAATGTTGATTAGATTTTGCATATATATAAGAAGCATAGTTAACTTAACAAAAGCCACGTTAGGTCAAGAAATCTTGAAAAACGCGAGAGTTTTCAACACAAGAACCTACTTCTCAACCTATCATTCCAATGGTAGCTATATGATATAGTGGACCGATCCGACCGGTTGCAACATAAGTTTAAGTTTTTAGACTGTGGCTTAAAAGTGAGAGAAAAGACGAACAAACCGACATGGCCGACAAGACAAGATATAAATATGATATATACTGATCATAGTCGAAGATATCTCCCACCATGCGTTACCCAGTCCATGACAAAATTATAATACCCTTTACCAGGGTATAATAACATGTATAAATAAACACATATCTTGTCGTACACACACACACAAACGCACATTGACTGCCTGCGATAACTTCTAAACACTTCAAATCATTACAGTGCGTCAAGCTGCATGTCATGCCGTCTGTCAGTGCACGCACTACAAGACCGCGTTGAAATAACAAAATGGAGAGAACAATTGAAGTTTACACGATGCCTAAACAGTATTCAATTTTAATGAAAGATGATAAGTTGGAAAAATCTCTTAATATGAATCTTTAACATTGCAAGTTCAAATTTCTTATATTTTTAAATAAGCTGTCAATGAGAAAAGAACCCAAATCTTTGTAAAACAGCAAGAATAATTATCTGTTATTTGCCCTCCAATTTAATGAAATCTAACTTTATCATTGTATCTTACAGAGTGAGTGAGCTAAGTGAGCAGATCAGACCAATTACGACAATTCTATCCCAATTCCGATCTCGGCTAGTGTATGGATGCACAGTCTCAATAGAAGGACATTTTAGTCAGAGTTATTACTAAATAACAATAATAATGACTAACAATTATAATAGCGCTATGTTTTGGTTATATGAACTTACCAATAACTACTATTATGATTACTATTAATTGTATTCAGATTGTTAAGTATATTTTTTAGTCATTAGTCTTAATACAGCATCTAAAAAACTAAGACAACTTGTTTCTGACAAAAAAATTGTTGATAAAGTCATCTTTCGTAGAATTATAGATATATAGTACCAAAGACCACACCGCGTATGTGTGAGTGTGCGCGTGTGTGAGTGTGTCTGTATTAGTTGACATAGCGTCAGCTAATAAAAATGTTTATTTCAATTGCAAAGTAAATGAAATGTTTGCCTGTAACAGAAATTATGAATGGCTCATTATGGCTGGCTATTTACACAATTGCCGCCTTATAAGCGATAGCACTTTGTGGATTTCCATGTCAGCGCTGCGTGTATTGAACTTTAACTAGTCGAAGTATTAGAGGCATGAAATTGTCTTGTATTATTAGATGGCATGTGTTTTGGTCAGTTGCATATTGATTTATGCCTTTGTTTATTAATTTATGTAAATGCGTGCCATGGAAGCACGCCTGAATAGATTAAAATGCTTGAAATTTTAGTTGGTTGCCCGCCCGAACTGTTAATGAGCTAACAACAAAATTTCATGCTCCATGAATGTGGCAGTGAATTCGGTCGCTTATTAATTGTCACGGCCCTCGAGGCCGAGGCGTAGATACAAATTAGCCTCGACTTATTGGCAACTTATAAATACAAACGCGATTCCGAGCGTTAAGTGAGCCGGTTATAATTCGCATTCTCGTATCGTATTTTTGGTATCTATGATTTCATAAACAAGTTTTGCCTGCGGATTTCACGGCTTTTAATTATGCGTTAGACAGTTCTGCACATGGAAATCTCATTGCGGGCCCCGCAATAAATGTTTAAATAAATGGCTGCAATTATTTATGCGTCACACCCAATCGATTTTTTCTACGATAGCTGCCGGTGCCTGGGGCCTCTCGATTCTCGATTCTCCAGCTCCGCAGCTCTCGACTTCGACTCAATGAAATTCAACCAAATGTTTTATTGATGTGTTGTAGATAATGTAATTTTGTATTGTTTAAATTGTTACCGCCTTGGCTGGAACTCATTTATTTTTTGTTTTTTATTTTTTATGTGCCTGCTTGACCGCCGGCGTGGATCCGTTTTTATAGCATTTGTCATTTTTTAATCTTTTTTCTGCTTATATTTTACAGGTTCTTGAGTTGTAAATGTTTTTTTCAAAGAGGCCCCGCAGAGTGTTGAACTACTGTTTTGGTAGTAAGTGAGATGAGGTTTTAATAAAGTTGTCAAGTGATTGGCAAGTTAATGTCCGCTTTATTGCAGTTTCTCGTTTAACTACTAAATAAAAGTTAGATCGATACAAGATTTATCGCAACATTTACCGCTCTTGGATGAAAAATGCGGGCGAAAGAAATCTAGATTTTAGATTCAGGACTTACCTGAAGGCCTCAAAAAAATGGGCGAAATACGTTGATTCCATATTTTGCTTTTTAGTTCGAAAAATTTAAACTCAGATATATATGCAAAAATAACTGGAGACGTGAAGTTCAAGAAATTACGGTTAATAGTGTTGAGAAATTAATGCCTTTAATCACAAGCAAACAGCTAGGACAGTTGATTATAAATTCGATGGAGCTCAAACTCATTCCCAGATATCTATCTATCTCTATATATAAAACTGTTTGTCCTGACTGACTGACTGACTGACTGACTGACTGATTGGTGATCAACGCACAGCCCAAACCGTAAGAGCTAGGAAGCTGAAATTTTCACTGTAGCTACCTTATGTGATGTAGGTGCACGTTAAGACGGGGTTTCGGGAAATTCCACCCGCAAGTGTGGAAAAATCGCGAAAAACGTTTGTATGTAACTTTTTTGTTTACCATCCGATCGGCCTCAAACTTATTTTCAAAGATCTTTGTTCAAATTCATTTGAGGTGTGTTTCACACTTTACGAAAAATCCGTTCCTCCTTGGTGGAAATGGAGGTCAAAGATTTGATGGGTGACGTTTCGCGCTTAAATTCATTTCCAGAGATCTATAAGAAAAATCATTTGAGACGTGTTTCACACTTTTCGCAGAATTCAAACTTCTTCGGGGGGAATGCGATTTAAAGATTTTTTGGGTGAAGTTTTAAGTTGTGTCCGATTTGCTTCAAACTTATTTTCAAAGCTCTACATAAGAACTTAATATATACGTATTTCAGCAATTTGGGAAATTCCACCCGCAACAGTGGTAAATTGGCGGAAAACGGTTGTATGAAAGTTTTTTGTTTACCATCCGATCGGCCCCAAACTTATTTTTAAAGATCTTTGTTCAAATTCATTTAAGGGGTGTTTCACACTTTTCGAAAAATCCGTTCCTCCTTGGTGGAAATGGAGGTAAAAAATTTGGTGGGTGACGTTTCGCGCTCAAATTCGTTTCCAAAGATCTATAAGAAAAATCATTTGAGACGTGTTTCACACTTTTCGCAGAATCCAAACTTTTTCGGGTGGAATGCGACTCTAAGATTTTTTGTGCGAAGTTTTAAATTGTGTCCGATTTGCTTCAAACTCATTTTCAAAGCTCTACATAAGAATGGAATGAATACGTGTTTGAGCGATTTGAGAAATTCCACTCGCAACAGTGGTAAATTGGCGGAAAATGTTTGTATGAAAGTTATTAGTTTACCGTCCGATCAGTTTCAAAATCATTTCAAATTTGCTTGAGAACATTGATTTTATAACATACGTGCCACGGGCAAGGCCGGGTTATACCCGCTAGTAATATATATAGACATGAAGTTCAAGATAATACGGTTAGATTTAAATTTTGCACAGTCAGGTTGTTTATAGAAAATTTATGTCAAAATACTTGGACCGAACAAGTCTTTGAAATAACAGCTAGTAATATGATAAGTTAATGACAGGCATCTGGCATCATACCCAGCTTCATATTCTGTTCGCAAAGGGATATTTTCATAGATTATGAATCTGTTAAGCTACTTGCTTACTCGCGCGAACTTGGGGAAAACCTATGGCTTTTTTAAATCACGCAAATCTATAAATAATTAATTTTAAAAATTCAGCCGCGGCTAGATCTTTTTTAAAAAACACACAGCTAGAAAACTTGTGAGCCTGACAATGCAACAGCTCGAAATATTATTGCTTAGGACCAAACACTTTAACTAGAGTTAGTTTTATGAAATCATATTAAAATAAATACGCAATTCGATTTTAGCCAAATAGGAAATTCACTATCTACACATTTGCGCAACTAAACACTTTAACAAATAGGAAGTTCACTATCTATACATTTCCGCAAATGCTGCTGGGGAAATTCTAAGCTAATCTATACCTGGGTCAATACTTATATGCTTATCAGCGCCCACAGAGAACTATTTTTCGCTGCATCGTATATAAAAGTCGCAAATTTCAAAATCATTTCAGTTATTTGCTTGCAGCAGAAGCGGCGATGAATTTCTACCATATGTTAACCGTAATAGTTTTGGTCTTGGCCAATTTTATGGACCGATCGAGTGCTAATTGGATAGATGATATTGGCGCAGAAGTGGTAAGTTAAATACACCGTGAAATTCAAAAATTGATGAAAGAACTTATACATGTCAACCTTTTAGGAAAAAGCTGGCAAAGAAGTCGAAGAAATGGGTAGAGCTGTCGTAAGTCTAACATATATATACTAATATTGAATCATATATACTGAATAACTTTTGCAATATCTTTCTAGGAAAATATGAACATTTAATTTTAACGCCAGCAATAAAATTTGTCTCATTATTATAAGAAAATATAAACTAAAATAGATATTACTACAAATGAAAAGATATTAAATGCTCAATAAAATTTAGAAACATGTTTGACTGAAAAAACAAATATTTTATTAACTTTTTTTTTTAATAAATTCATCAATACATATATGTATCTACAAAAGACTTTTTTAAAGTTAGTATTAAGTATTTCTATAGTCGGCTATCCCCAATTTCATAAATCTGTTTTCTTCGAATGGAAGCAACTTATTAAGCTGATTAAAGTTGTGTATGAAAAACATTTTTAGAGCAATTGCTGCTGTGTACTTTGCTTTGTGCTTATAAAAATAGAAGTCAAGAAAGCTGCAGTCAATTTAAGATATATAAACTATTAAATACCCTGCATTGGCTAAAACGAAACACATATAAATAATTCTTTAAATTGATTAATGAAATTTGTCATTATAATTATGAGAAATTATTAAGACTAACAGAATTTAAGGTGCAAATCTGAGCACTTGAAGTTGCAGGGTATACCATTTTTGAGCAAGTGTTGCTTTCATGACTGATTGTCCTCACTTTTATACCCTACCAGCGCTTATTAGGGAGTTTGACGAGCTGAGTAAATATAACCACAAGGCTGGCTTTATCTTCATAAAACTATGCAAAGATCCATTCTTTTATAGTACATATACAACCCAATAAACCTGTTAAAGTTTGTTAAAAAATTTGCTTTAAATATATTGGCACATTTGTTGCAAGGGTATTCAAATTTCGGCATGTCGAAAAGAACAATTCTTTCTTATTTTTGGCAAATTATGTCTTATCAGCATCGTTGCGGCTGTTAAGCTATTTATTTATACGCAGGCCAGATAAGCCAGCAGTCGTCTAATTCCAGTAGCATCTGCATCATCTCTAGATTCAAGAAATACGCAATTGCAAACTCAATATGAATTACAATATATTAGTCTTAATTGCCATCATTTTGGCAGTCAATGTGGATGTGGCCAAGGCTAATTTGTGGGACAGCATAAAAGATACATTTGTAAGTTTGAACTAAACATAAATGCAGTATATCAAAATCAACTTTGTGAATGCTTGTTTATTATAGGAAGACATAATTGACGCAATTAAAGACTTATTCTCATAAGATAAGTTAGTGAACGTGTCAGTCTTAAACGCATTGAATTGTAAACCAAATGATATTTAAATAAAAAAAATTGAATTTCTCTTTACTCTATGTTTTGCTGGCATCAAATTTGTTTGAGTTCTCTGGCTCGTAACAGTCCACGTGTATTTATATGCTAGTTTGCCGTTAAGTGTGAAAGGCAGCTTCATCTTCATTTCCACTCGAAGTGACGTGTCGCTTTTTGGGGTCATTTCAATCAGCACCTGTCACACGGCTCGAGCGTTGGCGTGTGAAGTATTTTGGGCCGTCGAGTTGCGTCTAGACGGCAGAGCAGCTCACTTGGCTGTTGTAAATTAATTAAAAGAAATTGTTTTGGCCGCTGGGCTGCTGCTGAAAACGTTTCCTAGAACATCGTTCGACACTTTCGCCCAAGACTTAGATTTTTTTTTCCTTTTTAATGTTTTTTGCATATCGATAAGCGGCTAGTCGCGGTCCGTTGCAGTCATAATTTATACGTTTCGGCGCAGTTTATGACAGGCTAACAAATTTCCTGCTGCCGCCCCATGTGGTCAGCAAACGGCGGCCAGCGCGATTCAAGATACAAGATGCAAGCACAAGATACAAACGCCAAAGGCGGCTGCCATCAAGGCCGACGACCGACTCGCAAACTTATGACTGCCAAATGCCATGAGGCGCATAATCGAAAACAGAATACACGCGTGCGCTGAAGCTTGAAGCCTGACGCCGCCGCCTGCCGCCTGCTGCCTGCCGGTTCGGGTCGTAAATTATGATATACTCGCAGCGATGCAGGAGACCAAGTCAGGGGGAGGGCAGCGCAGATGCATAAATATAGTTTTCAAGTTGATTGCAATCGGCAGTTAAACAAGGCGCTGGCCAAGTGACTGGCTAGCAAAGGTGAGCAACTCGGGGCTTTATCATCTTTGCCATGATCATCGCCTGACCTGGCCACCCACAGTCGCACAGATTTGCCAGCTGAGCTCGCTATTTGTCAATTATCGCAATGAGCGATCGGCTGCCATTTCGATCGCACGTATCTGGACTGTAAATCAGAGACAAGTCCGCTCATTGCATCACTGTGCAAAAATTTTGCACTGTACGGCCGCTAAGTAGACGGTGATTACAGGCAACAGCAACAACTACAACTCAAAAGCAACGACAACAACCACTATAAAGCTTAGGTAAGTGCTGCTACACTGAGTCGACATTTGGCTGGCATTTTAAGTCACGGGGCGTATACGCAATTTACATATGTCAATGCGAGTGATGCGATGACGCGCCGCTTTATTAGGCGAATATATCGAATATACCTGCCCCCACCTGCCGTCCTCTTACTCATTCCATTTGTCTTTTTGCATATTGTGCCTGGATTCCATAAAATTGGTAACATATGGCACATATTATTAAGTTGAGCGTAACAATTAAAGATGTAAGCTACGACCAAAATAAGTATAAATATGCTCGATAGTAAGAAGAAAATTAAGAGCTACTAACAGGGTATCTGTGAGTCAGCCTTTTTAATATGGTATACCAAATGACTCCAAAGTGTCAAATAGATTTCGATACTTTTCCTAGACGATAGTCAAACATCCAGAAATATCGATCGTTTTTTAATATTATTTAAAAACATTTTCCATTTTACATTTATAATTAGATTCCAAGCTGCCAAATTAGATAGTTTAGTTTAAAACTGTTATTGTACTTTTGGAAGAGTGCAGTATCAATCTTTTCCGTGTCTGATTGAGTGGTAAGAACATTTAGAAAATAAGAGCACAAAGCAGGGTATCTCTTAGTCAAGAAATGTCATTATAATCTTAGATTTTGCCCTTTGGTAAAAGGCTTTAAATTATACATATATGTAAATCCTACACCAAATAACTTTAAAGTGTCTTTAATAGAAAACGTTCTGTATATCAAAAATAAATAAATAATTAAATAAATAAAATAAATAAATAAATTTACAGATACTTCAGATTTAAAACTGTGATAGCGACTGCGGAAGAGTTCAGTATCGACACTACCGATAGATCATAATAATGCGATTATGGAGGAAATGAGCATAAAGCTCATAATGTTTTTGAACCTTTTTACATAAGATACATCAACTGTTATAGGAACATAACTTTAAGTCTAAATATTTTACTTTGGGTATTATTTAAGTGCTAGGTAACCCTTAGTCGAGTCTGCCCGTTTGGCAAAGTTGCATTTTGCTTTGCCCGTTGCCGCCAATTAATAAACATTTACGCTCTTTGCATTGATTGCCCGCCAGCGATAAGTTGAAGCGACTTTTAAGACCTGGGCGTATTGAGTTTCGTAATTGAATTCCAAATTTCGAATGCACGCCGGTGAAAGTAAGTCGCAAAACTCATTTGAAAGGCCGCAGTCGATGACGTCTAATGCAAAAGTGCTTTTTGTTTCCTTTTCATTATTTCTGGCCATTTTTTATGTGCCAGTCGTGAGTGCATAAACAGTAACGAAAATGCAAAAGCACAAACAAAAAATACTCTAACGATTTCCGAGTTGAAATTGATTTTGTTTTTTGTGCTGCTGCGCAATTGCCAGCTTCACCTAAGCCAGGCTTGCTGAGCAGGTGGAACGTTTCTAAAGGCCGCAAATCTATGCAAATATTTGGAGGCCAAGCGAATCGGCCCGAAATGGTGACAACTAGTAAACATTTTAAACGCCAGTCGGCTTTGGTCATAGGAAACATAATTTTGTTTTGCTGTTGTGGAATTTCGAAATCGTATTTGTGTCATATGCAAACGAGCCAGTGAGAACAAAACACAAAACTGAAATTCGATAGCCCAAAAATAGCAACTATGTGGAGTGTAAATAATGAGTTGTGAACACGTAGAACGCTCTTGACATTTCACGGTAAGCCCGAAACCTGTTTGGGGCAGAGGCGTAGGACAAAGGGATTACTGAATAATATCACAGACTAGCTGTTATTTGCTTACTTTGCCAGGGCTGCAAATACTAAGAAAATATAGTTCGGCTTGTGGTCCACGCAGGTTTCCTGGCTTGAGGTACACTACTTTTTTTTTAAATTTAAAATTGCTCGTTCTATGTACAAATATATTAAGATATTCCAATGAATGGCTTGGGGCAAGAGTTATGTATGTTTTGGCCAGAGTCTCCCCTAACATATATTCATGTCTCTCAGTTTTTGGGCTTGGTTTACGGATCGGTTTATTTTGAAAAGAAAAACAATTCCGGGTTCAAACCGGTACGATTATAAACCTTGGTTCTAACATATCGATATATAAAGAAAAAAAAAATATAAATATATAAATTCAAAAAGGAAACTTCGTAGCTCAGTATTGGTATAGACTACAACGTTTTTCAAAAGTTTTGGCTCTTAACTTTATAATATTTTAATAGCACCGCAATAGATACTTCTTTCAATTTTAGTGCCTCTATAGTTTGAAAGTGCATGCAAACACTTCGAACATAATCATCATCAGCCACTTGACCGCAAGACATAAAAGCCACAAGTGCCACAAGCGAAATGAAGTAATTTTTGGTTCAACACTTAAAATCACGCCTGCAAATTTCAATTGCCCTCCAGGCATTATAATTATGCCATTATGATTACGAGTGCTCATTACATTGAGCAAAATTTCACGACAATGGGCCACAACCTTCAATGTGGCAACGCTGAAGTGTACAAATTAAATTGGACATTAAGCTGATGCCGGGCGTACGATGCCGACATATCCGACACAATAGACAAACAGTCAACAAGTTGGCTCTCACAATTGGCACTCACTCGCTGTCAGACAACGGAAGTTGTCTCCAAGGCAGCCGGCAACGGTCTGCGCTGATTTCATTCATCCAAAACTCGACTTGAATTACTTGCAAATTGCTGGCAGCCAACGTTGGAGGGGGAGGCGTTCCAAAAACAACAATCTCAAACAGCTGCTGCATACGAAATGAGTTTGTCAGCTGCAAATCAATATGTATGCATAAATTTTGGCATGTTCTGACGATTCTGCAGCCGCAGCTGCTGCCACAAAAATGTGCAAGCTCCAGAATAATTGGGAACCCATTTAACAACTTTCCCACAACATATCAAAATTCAACAAGTGCAGCATCGAGTTAAACCATTATGGATATCATATCTTATAAGCATACAAAACTAAATCAGCCAGAAATGCAAAAAAAAAATTAAGTGAAAATGGAATTTAGAAGTAGTCGATGTTGCAACACTCTATGTCAGTGCTGCAAAACGATCAGTGACGCTTTTTTTGTGCGTTATTCTCTTATTGCAATTTTGTCTTTGAATCACGAAGAATAAAATATCTTCTTAAATCTTAATTATTATGTCGAAACTAAGGGGAGGCATATTTTAAATAATACGCTTTACATATATTTTTAATTTGAATTTAAATTAACTAAAAGTATCTATAAACCATTTAAAGCAAAAAATAATAGTAAGGCAATTAATTTAAAAGAAAGACACTAGCATATAAGTTCCTTAGCTACAATCAAATAATAAAAATATAAATTACGTTGGCCGTTACAGATAAATATTGAAAATTTAAAAACCAATTTTAAATTTCAAAACAAACAATTATTTTGAGAATTGCAACATGTATATTAGGAAAAGATCATTAGACTATGAACCTGTAACTGACATAGATGTTTAATGATTCTCTAAATAGATTTCATTGTTATTATTCATTGTTTCTTCATTATTATTATTAATACCACCCAAATAGTTGTACAAAAACTTAGCTAGCCCAAAGTACCCGTTTGTAAGGGCCACCGCAACAGTTTTTGTTGCCAACTGCATAAATCACAATGAAAGCTCCGGTTACCAGGGCCAAAACTGCAAAGGCAAGCGTTATTCCTCACGATGGCACTGATGATGGAACCGGCTGGCATAATAACAGAGAACAGAGCACTTCTTGGGCACGACGCAAATAACTTGCAGCGTGACTGGATAAAATGCCAAGCCGAGCCACACAGAGCCAGAGCTGGTTGCCCAAGCTCCGGACTCCGTAGCCCATCGGAGCCATGCACTGGCGAGACATCTCCCCAAGTTTCCAATCGTCGCCGGTCGGCAAAATTCAAACAAATCGCTCAAACAATGCAGCAACAACAACAAAAATCGAAGAAAAAATATAATAAAATACAAAGCAATTTTTTGACACGACTCGCGCAACTTTGGCTTTTGTTGTTGCCTTGTTTTTTTTTTTTTTGTGGAACTTGGCTGGGATATTAGAAAACCGCACAATGCGTTTCAACTTGCCTCAGATTTCAGTTAATTGATTAGAAAAACGTGTGCATTTAGATAAGCTCTGAGACACATGATACTCAATAACCATAAACGCATTGCCTTATACGGCTCTTGCGTTGAACGTGATATTATTGCATTTTAAAGAAATAAAATGGTATCGAATAAACGAAATGTCTTGAATTAATTTTTACAAATTTAGTTTTGGTATATTGAGTATACATACGCAGATATAGGCTATAAAGTTTTGTTTCTAACAACAAAATTACCATAAACTAATTTAATTTCCCTTTTCGTTTTTTCATAAACCATAAAACAGTTTAGTTGATTTATATATTATTTAGCTGCAGCTGACAATTGTAATTTCTAATCCGACACCCGATCCTCCTCAAGTCATCGAGAACAAGTATAAGGTAAGAGCAATCAAATTTTAAGTCGGTTTTTATTTTTATCAACAAAAAGTTGTTCAGATAAAAATACATTGCTAGCCGAACGATTCTCTGTCCTTCTTTTGAATAAAGTATGCTTAATAGCGTTAAAACTGAGAGACTACTTCGCATAGAAGCCGATAGCCGGACAGACGAACAAAGCCATATAGACTCGGCTGTTGATGCTGATCTGGAATTGATATATTTTATGGGGTCGGAGATGTCTCCTTCTATGCGTTACACATTTAATAATATATTCTTCAAGGGCATACTAAATAATTGCAATAAACTACATTTATAAATGTTAAACGTTTTAATTTCAGCTGCTACAATTTTCGGTTAAATCTTTGTATTAATATTAATATTGTTGTAAAAAATATTTCATAGCCGGTAAAAAAAAACAATTTATTTTAAAGGCATGCTATAAAGAAGAGAATGGGAAATATATATTTTAATAGAAAATTAGAGCTTATGATTATAAATTTCTAAATTATTGCAGTGTAGAAAAACAGTTCCTAAACTACTTTTAAAATATGTTACTTTTTAGCAGCATGCGGACACAACGTAGAAAATGTTATTTCAATTAGGTCAAAATGATTCATAATTCAGTATGTCACAGTCTCTTAGTAGACAAAATGGTTTGACATCCTCTTCGTACCTCACTTCTATATTTATTTTAATGGTCTCGAGATGCTTCTTTCACAATATTTTGGGTACTGGGAAGAACGGAAGGCTCAATGCACTGCTTCATTAAAATAGACCCATTATGATCTTATTGGGCGGGCAAACTGGGCTCGAATACCGCGTTAACCCAGTCTAACTATTTTCTACACTATCCAACAGACTTGCTGTGCTTGTAATACCCGCATAAATTTGTAGCTGACAAATATGCAAAAGCTGTTTTTACTCCAGACTAGTCACTACTGTGCCTGAGTCGCCGCCGCTTTGGTGTTCATATTTTGGCTAATGACTGGCACTAACAAAAAATTAAGTGGCCACGAAAAAACAACATAAAAAGTGGCAGCCAATTGCTGCAGCAATTGTTGTTGTTGCTGTTGTTGTGACTTGACTAGCGCACAAATTTGCTCACATTAAACTTAAAGTTTTTTTTGTGTTTTATTTAATTTCATTATTATGGCCTTTTTGCACTGTCGAACATTTATTGGCTGCTTGTTTATGATTTTGTGGTTGTTTGTTTGTTTTTTTTGTTAGCCAAGTTCATTTCAGGCAAGACTCCTGCTTGAGGGTCACCAGTCGCTGTTGTTGTTGTTGTCGTTTTTGTTGTTCTCGCTGTTGTTTGTTAATTCAGTTGTACGAGGCGTGGCAAATGGCCTGTGAATGGTCTGATGGATAAGCGAACGGCCGCACAGACGAGCCGCTGCATTCATTGCCCAACCACTTTAAGCCTATTAAAAGCTAAGCAACTCAGGCAATGTGCAGCGCCAGCCGCACAGCTTATAAAAGATACTTTTTGAAAACTATGCCAAGCAGCTCACACGCCAGAAGAAAAAAAAAACTCTTTTACTCGTAATGTGCGATCGACAAATTGCCAAATAACTGAGCACAAAAACCAATACTCCAACTCGAAACTAAGGCCTGAGATCTTTGCATCAAAGTAGTCGCCGCCGTCGCCGCCATTCAATGGGATGAAATGTGAGCTACAGTGGGCCGGAAGCATTTATATGATATTGTTTGCATTGTTTTGGATTTTTTAAATAATATTGTAATTTTATTTCATTTTGCATTGGGACTTGATTAGGTAACATAATAATGTTGCATAAAAGAAAACGAAAGATCATTTCCGCATGAGAAAGAGAAATGATTACCATCTATAGAAGATATTCTAAAACCTCATAGACATTTATTCCCAATCAATATTATATAGAATATTAAGCATAAAGTTTCAAGAAATTTAAGAAGCTTATCGAAATGTTATAGAAAAAAGTTAAAAAGTCTAGGATCTAATAAGATAAGAGTTTTATTTATGCGAAGTATTTGACCTATAAATAAATAAAAAAAAGTAAACATATCTATTCATTGTACTATACTTTGGGCTTCCTTTGGCTTCGTGCATGGAGATAGGATCTTGGCAGAATCTGCTAATAAATTATTTTGTTGCCCCGTGGACCTTTTGCAGCTTCAACATATTTTATGTGGCAGCTTAACCCATTGTGACCCATGGTATGGGCATTGGCACGCGATTCGTGCCCCCCCGCTCCCCAACATAACAAACCGCATTTTGTCTTCACATTGTTTGCGTGCCACCTTTTTGCTTATTATTTTTTGTTGTTTTCAACGTCGGCTACTTAAGCAAACATGCAACATTTTGCCCGGCCGCTAAAGTATCTCTGAGATACGCGGGCTGGCTTATTAAAATGCAATCAGCGCAGGAAGCGGTATCTGCCGATGCTTACTTATATGTATATACTTATGTATGTGTGTGTGTGTGTGTGTGTGCTTGTGTTTGTGTGTCTGTTCATAAAACTGTTTGCTGGTTTTGACCATAAGGCGCAGTTGCTCCGAACCGCCTTCAAAACTATGCGCGGCATTTGTGTCAAACACGCGACCCAGTCGCCAATGGTCCCCCAAGTGCCCCGGCAAACAATTGTCGGGAGCTGGCAATGGCTGTTACCAGTTGCAAGTTGCCAGTTGCCAGTTGCAAGTTGCCAAAACTGCCGCCTGCCATTGCACCAAATTGGCAACTGGCTTAGAAAGTCACCAACAATTGCTGCTGCTGCTGCTGCTGCTGTTGATGGCAGCCTGAAAGAAAGTCAAATGCCATGTTGCCACTTACATGTTGCAGTTGCCAGTTGATGTTGCTGTTGCCAGTTGTTGGTGTTGCTGTTGCTGTTGTCGCGGTTTTTGTCTCTGCTATTGCTATCGATGTTGCAATTGTTGCTCTTGTGCGCTTTAATTAGCAGCTCCAGGGCAAGGCCTTACCACAGCTGGGCAACTCATCTTTTACTTTTGACTGATTGGCGAACTTTTGTTAGACAGCGCGACGACGTTGCTGTTGCTGTTGTTGTTGCTGCTGCCTACCGGCAATTTTTGTTTCTTTTGATATCTTCGATTGCACTCTTTGACGTGCTGTTGTCGTTAACTTGTTGTTGTTGTAGCTTGCCAGTTGCATGTTAATTAAGCGCACCTTGACTGCATTTGCCTCCAGCTGCTGCTGCTGTTGTTGTTGTTGTTGTTGTTGTTGTTGTTGTTGCTGCTGCTGTCGCCGTAGTTCACTGCAAATGTAAAGTTGTTATAGTGATTGTTGTGGCTATTGCTGCTCATGTTTCGTTATGCTGAGCAGGCAGCTTTATGCCTAACATTTGTTTTATGTCAGCTTGATGAGCAGTTCAAGTATCTATTAGATAAATTACTTAGGTTACGGACTGCATATGACTTCAAAGACGTGAGCATGAATATCATCAAGTCATGCATCTGACAGTGGAGTTATATAACTTTCAAGACATGAAAAAACTTAAATCATTTTCATTAAACAACATAGACGAGCAACCTAATATTAATTTAGCATATGTGCAATAAGCAGCACGTACAATATTTTATATTTAGACTCTAAGACAAAATTCTCTTTGAAATTATTTCAAAAGTTTTGATCAATCTAATATAATTTAATATATTTTCAACGTTAGTATTTCTATAAAATTTTTAACTCAAAATCTTTTAATTACTAATTAGTATGAAATCATAGCTCGAATCTTAGACCAAAACATGTTATAAAATTATTTTATTTTATTCTTAACTTTATAAGTTCTACGTTCCTTAGATGAAAGAAGTATGTTATTCTCTAAATGTATCTGTCAGATTAAAAATTTAATAACAACATATTCCAAATATTTTCAAGATTTATTTATTATTTATCTTCACAATTTGTATACCCATGTAAATATATAAAAAAAAACTTTTTTTGAATGATTGACATTCGCACAAAATACACAATAAGAGATTTTTTATGAAATTAAATGGGATATCGTTTGGGTATACCTATATCCAGTAAGCTTTCAGTTTCATAAGCTTTTAATATCTACATCAAAATTTTATTTCTTGTAGTCTCGAAAAATAGCTCAGATAATTCAACAAACAGTCTGTAGAATATTTATAACTTTTATATCCCAGATTTTAGAGGCTAATAATATATTATACTGCATTTTGCTACTAAATAAGTCCATGTTCCGAATTTGGGGAAAAGACAAAATAAAGTTTTAATTTGCATATATATATTTTTTTTGCAATGGAGTTTTTGTCCCTTTATGTCGTTTTATTTGCTTAATAAAAATTCAAAATTCTTAAAATACGACAATACGAAATGATTTTATAGTAACGCAAATTTTTTGTAATTTAAACATATTGTTATGCGCATTATCATTATCATATTATTATTTTATTATATTTTATCTACATATTTTCTGCAAGTCAAAAAGAACCCCACAAACTGCAAACCCACACTCAGTGGAAGTATGCGAAAAATGTTTCAATTACAACAATTAAAGTTTTTATTTATATCATGCATTTGATTAACAAAGATTTAAGCAAGGTTTCTCCGGTTAATAGTTGGGTCCGTAAGTTGGCCAGGCAAATTCAGCCCACACAATGAAACCATAAGCCGAAACATTGAGTCAAGTATTTTGCGTTGGTGGCTCAGCTGTGAATGGCCAATTCAGGCAATTCTTTTAGGCCAAGTCCAGTGCCTGACGGCAATAAGATAGAATGAACGAAATTCTGATGCAAAACCATACCAAGCAAAAGTTTATGGGTTTGTGATTTTGGCTTTACGGGCTGGTCGTAAAAAACTAAAAAGCACATGATATAAAACACTTTAAAATGGCGTGGGTTTGTTTTTAGTACGAATTGCTTTAATGAGTCAGTACGGAACCAGTCGAAGCTACGCTCTAGGGGCAGATCACAAAAGTGCGGCGCATCTTCAAGATAAATGCATGATGTGGCTGGTAAATTTTGACCAGTCATTGCAGGTGTTCTGACTGACTGTTTGACGACTGCGAGATGGTAGATCTGAGAATTTCCGTTTGATTATAGCTTGTAATGCATTTTTAATGATTTAATTGTTTTTTTTTTTTTAATATTTATTTTGATCTTAACTCTACTCGTTTTACAGCTACATTTGTAATGCGCATTTGATTCTTTTAGTTTTTAGTTTTAATTTATTTTATTTTTTTATTGGTTTTCATGCGTCGACGCACCTGTTTCACTGTTGGTTGCTCTTAAAGGCAAAACAAAAGCAGCTGCCGCCAATTACAAGCGCCAAAACGTTTCCAGCTAATGGACACACATATTTGTTGCATTTTTTCCCACACACACGCGCAGCAAAACACAACACAACAAAACACAACAACACAACACAATTCGAAACCGAAACGGAAACCGAAAAAACAATTTGATGTTGCAAGCGACGCGCACGAATCGTAACTGCTGCAGCCAGGCGACGAGAAGCTGCAGCTAGCTGCTGTCTGTAGTAGATCTTGATCTCTCACACACACGCACATACACATACGCACTCACTCCCTCGCTCTCTCCCGCTCATACGGCGACTCCTTGTGTTCTCGTATCTCTTAAAATGCGCTCTCTCACGGGTTCCGCGTTGCGACGCTAACGACGGCGCCCAGGCGAACTCCGCATAAAGTTCTAAGTCAGCGAACGAAAAAAACAATAACAAAATTCTGAGCACGCCGCGATTGCGTTTGCGTTTTGTTTGCCGTTGTTGTTAGCTTGCCGCGCTGCCCACAACTGAGCGCCAGGTGCGACAGCAACTGAGCCGCAGCCGCAGCTTGGGCGCGCGCTGCCATAGTAAGCAGCGCCGTGGCAGAGCGCAGTTGTGGCTGTATTGCGCCAGTGTTGTAGGCTTCAATGGGTTAACTGGCTTGTTGTTGTTGTTGTCATTGCTTGTTATTGCCCGTTTGCCCGTTTGGCTGTGCATGCGCCGTGTGAAACGGCGAGTAAGGCAGACTACACGTTAAAAAATTAAATGCAAGTTGCTTGTATGAATGAATGAATGAAATGAATTGATGTATTTTAGAATAACCTAAAACAAATTAAATTAATTCAGCAGAGCAAATTAGTCCTATCGGACTGCATACAATTTTAGCTAACTAAAAGATAAGAAGAGTAGAAATTCTTTGCAAACATAACATACAGGGCATTCTTTAGTCGATTCTAACCAGCTCAACACCTTTGCATAACGAAGCAGGTAATAGAACACCAGCTGCAGAAACATGACTCATGAATGATCTTTCAGCTGTTGCAAAGTTGTCCTGTTGGGACTTAATGAGCAGATATACCTGGATATGCATGCCCGAGGATTCGACTGGGAAAGCAGCGACGATATGTAAACTGAGATTTAAAAGGGGCATTCATAACAATATCTTTTGGATCTCAACTGAAGGTGCATGCGCAGAACGCAGCCAGAGCCCTGAAGAGAATGTGCAGGGTATAGAAGATGCACTGAATATTCTATTTAGAAAATAAATGAACAGATTTTTTAAAAGCTTTTCAGTATTGAGTTATATATTATTAATTCCTATATATAAGTTCTAACTAAGTATAATTTGTTGTTAACAGTTTGTAAAATAAAATTAACATTTTATTAAGATCATAAAAATAAAATATGTATACATATAAACATGCTAAGACTAAAAATAAAATTAAAATATATAAATAATAATATCTTTTTTAAATATAAAAAAAAAAACTATTTCAGCTTCTTTATTAAATCTTAATTAAGAGTGTCTTTAATAGACCTTCAAATGGTTATATAATTGGAAATTGAATTACCTAATTCGGATTAATGGATTGCAAAAAATATTAAATTCTCAAAATAAAATCGAAAATATAAAATTCCTTAATTTTTCATAGATTTCCATGTTTATATATTAATGTATATATAAATGTTTTACATGTGCATTCCCATATAGACTTTAATATTTTAAATGAAAAATACAAAACAAAATTCTTTTTAGATATAGAAGTCAGTAATTCACAATTTGCCTCAGGAATAAAATCGCTCCATATTGGATCTATAAGGCTCGCTCTCTGGCATACCTATGCTAATGAGAGTTGACCTGGCACTCAGGTAGACAGAGCCGGGGGTCTACGTGCGTTGCACGTGCGCATATTTCAAGGTTTCGGGGAGATGTTCGTCAAAACAAACAGCACAAGGTACCAGAACGAACCGGAGGCTGAGTAATGTGACAGTGCACAATGTGAATGGCCATTATGAGTATGAATGAATATGTATCTCTCGGCTGGGCCTGGAAAACGTGCCTCTCGGCGCAGGACTGAAACAGAAACCGGGACTGCGACTGTGGACGGTGCCATAAATTTGCCGACTTGATTGTGTTTGACTTTAAGGCACTTTATGGCATAAATCACAGGACCGCAAACGATGCCAAAGTGAGAAGAGAGAAACTGACTCCGAAGACTAGAGACTGACCCAAGGGTTAATTGCTGACAATTTTCAAAGGCTGGCAGCCAAAAAAAAAATAAGTAAAATAAAACTTAAACGGCTTAGAGAGACCTGGCCAGGTTTAAGTTTTGCACACTTCTCCGATTTTAATCTTTATTTATAGCACCTTGTATGCGTGCGTGTGTGTATCTGTGTGTATCTGTGTGTGCGTGCTCAAACTCTTTTGGGGAGTAACTACCATTTGGCATTGGCACGGTAACAAGACAAGACAGTCCGACGACGATCATCAATAAGCAGCTGCCGGCTGCGCATGCGCCTCATTCCCATTCGCCCCATTCGCCTATTAACGAGCGCAAGGAGCTGGCCAAAAGAGATTTGCAAGTCGTTGTTGTTGTTGTTCTTGTCGTTGTTGCCATTGGCAAGCTAACGAAGTTGACAACTTGATGACATTTGATCTCTGGACTCGAACAACAACAACAACGGGAACGCCGACAGGCACAAGGCCTAAGCAAAGGCAAACCGCAAATGACAGCGCGATGATCAGATGAGACGCTCAGAAAATCAGACGATCCGACGGTCAGTTGGTTTGATTTTGGTCTAGCCACGCACACAGCGCATTCAGATTGGATTCAAGTTGGAGTCGCAATTGGAGTTGGAGCATGCGACTGGATTGCACACACACAGCAGGGCGCTACATTGTAAATCCTTGTGTGAACGAAGTACAGTAAAACAGGTCGCTGCAAGAAATGTGCACTCAACTTGGTATTGAATTTGCTTAGGCAATAAAAAAAAAAAAAGAATTGTATATAAGGAGATCATTAATCATATTTGCATTTAGACTTATAACTTTGACCAGCAGGCACAGATTTTAATCAGAAAATTGGTTTAAAAAAAAAAATTAATTTATTATTTTGCAAAATGATTTTAGATTCTCAATTAATTAAATTAATCATCGGTTTTCAGTCGATTAATCAATGAGGAAAATGGTTTCCTTAAAAAGTATCTAAAGTTAAAAGAGAAAGTCTTCGTTATTGATTAATTGATTGTCAAACATTTGGTAACTTAAAATGATAAAAAACCCAACGTTGAATTCAAATATAACTAATGACAGGAAACTAAATAAAGAAAACTATTTATAAAAGGTTTTCTGATGCAAAAAACTTTGATAATTTCAAGGTCTCTGACCATTCAGAATTATTGAAAATCCCGATACTTCTCTCTTCCCGCTATGATATATTAACATTATAATGTTTGGAGGGGGTGGTGGGGGAAAATGTTAGTCTTCCTCATCGGGCCTATTTTCACAATTTATCTCCGTAATAACCATAAAAAAATTATGTATATTTTATAATATAATAAAATAATAATAATATGCATAATATCCCTGTACAAGTATAATAATAACAATAAAAAAATAAAATAATAATTCAATACATAATATTCCTCTGCATTTACTATAATGATAATAAAATATTAAAATAATTTACAAATTGTTCCCATACAAATAATGTTAGATATAGCCGAAAGCCTTTGCAATCCGCCTCACATACTATTTTATTTTATACAAAATAAATAATTTGAATGTTCTCACTAATTCATAAGAGCATGTCAGTTGTTCAACAAGCTTCAAGCTCCGCCTACAAGTACCCTGCACCCTACACAGCCTACAGATACTCTCATGCCCATTTCCTTAAGGCTTATGCGCCGATACTGACACCAGCCTCAAAGTCGAGCTGAAGTCGAGTTGAAGTCAGCTGCATTTTGTGGTCTGGCGGCGACAAAAGGCCCAGTCGGAGACCACCAACAGCAAAGGGAGTGAGGAGCAATGCCAACCAATCTGCAGACTGTCAAGGCTGCCGCCAGACATGTGTGGATAGAGTGTCAATGCGGAGTCATTTGGTTTTACAAATATTCCATTTATTTATCAAAAATGTAACACCCATACAAAAATGAGCCCCACTAAAATTGCCAAGGTTCCAAGCAGCTAGAAATCAGTTAAAGGTATTTTAGATTTAGACTAGTATTTCTATAGATATATATTATATAGGTATATAGTAAGTGGCTCTAGAGTTTGGCTTTCAGTGCAGCTGCTGTTGCTGCTGGCAGCTGCGGTGGTTTCTCCAGCTTCTCTGCCAGCTGCAACTGTTCCTGCGGTGGCAGCAGATTCCCCGCCGCAAAGATGTTGCGAGGATCCAGATGCTGCTTGGCAGCGGTATAGAGCGAGGTGCCCGTCTCGGTGACCGCATTGCGATACCAATGGCTGCGTATTTTGCCCACACCATGGTGATGCGACAGGGAGCCACCGCAGGCCAAGATCTCCTCGCGTGCACTGTGCTCAATGGCCTCGAATACCTCCACCGGATTGGGTATGTTCAAATAGCGGAAACCAAAGTAAAAGTATATGCACGCCCCCGCATCGTAGGTCTGCGTCACCCGCGCCGAGATGGTGTAGTGCGAAATGTTGTGCCTGGCGCATTCCTGCACCCAAATTAATACAAAGTTAAAGCTTAAAAATGATTATTTTCGGAAAATTGGGTTTTCTACATACCGAAACGACGCGCCGCTTCACACAGCGACACAGCAAGCTGCAGCGATCCCAGGGTACAGACGTCTCAAACGATTCAGCCACAATGCCTTGATGCAGTGCAAAGTCCTGAAAAGAATGCAAGAGTTTTTTATATTATAAAGAAACTATAAACTATAAAGAAACTAGTAAAAGTTGTACAATACTATAAAGAAATATCTAAAAAGTTTATTTGGAACGATCTCGTTCAACACGAGCTAAATTTATTGAGGCTAGCAAAGAAGATGTTTTGATCAGGCAATAGTTTTATTCATTAACATATATATGCATAAATATACATATAAAGTATATTTATTGCGATAATATATTATACATAAAGATAATATTATATGCATCCTTCATTTAAGCTTCGTGGGCACATTCAGAACACATTTAAAAAAAATTTATTAACGCATGTGCCTATTATCAAACATTGTAATAAAGAAGGAACAATAATCAACACGCCGACAATTTAAAACCCTAAAAGTCAAATGTTCTCGATGTGATTATATACAAAAACCTTCTTTTTGGACTACATTTTATATAATATATCATTAGCAGTTAAAAAATAATTTGAAACTGAATGGCATCTGCATCATATAGTGGGCCGATCAGGCCGACTCGGACCCTATATACAGCCTGCCCTAGAAAGGCAGACCCAGGCAAAGTCTTGTGGACTCGGCTGTTGATGCCGATCGAAATTATATATGTGCCTAATGGAATCGGAGATGTCAAGACCCAAGATCCATTAACAGACAACTTTACAGCTAACAATTTGACACGTATTTTCAAACAGCTATTAACGCTGTAATAAATAAAACTCACATCACACATTTCGCATACTTTATAAATAAATGACCACCTGGCAAACATTTTCAGTTACTTCATAATATTTACCGCCGGAAAGGCGGCTCTTTGGAAGACTGACAAAAGCGACTTCGGTTAAATATTTATAAAAGAACAAATGCATTTGCGTTCCGTTTTTTACTTGCTAAGCGTTAATTTGGCATTCATTCAACATCAATCTTCCGGTCGCTACTAATATCAGGGATTCCATGATATCTCAATTCGCTTATGGATTGACCAAAAAGAGTATATCATCCCAATGAGAAACTCGACATACACGAGATATACATATGTGCTTATGGTATCTACCCTTTGTATGGGCATCTGTTGTAAGTAGTCAATTTTCTAGCCCTCCCATTGAATTGAATTGCATTCGCTCTGAAACTACACTCACCCTGATGTATGCGATGACAAAGGTGAATAAATAGCCGCGCTCGCCGTTCTGGCCACCTGCCGGAAATCCCTTGTAGCGTGCGGCGATTTCATAGATGACCGCCTCCTGGCGCTGCACATCCTTCTGTTCGCCCTCGAAGAGCAGCGTGGCGGCGCATATGTGCGCCAGATCGATGCCCTTCCATACGGTCACATAGCGCTGTTTGACTGCATCCAGGCAGCTGGCCAGCCAGCTCTTCTCGGGCTTGAGGGCCTGACCGAATAGGAACTGCTCGTTGTCCATGAGACGGACCGAGGCGGGCTGGCAGCGTCGTCGGGCCACCTCGCGCATAAAGAGCACGCCCTGCTCGAAGTCGGGGAACACCAAGGAACCATAACGCTGCACTGGCGGCAGCGGACGCACCTTGAGAACGACTTCAGTGATGACGCCCAGCGTGCCCTCGGAGCCGAGTATGATGTGATTGAAGTCCGGGCCACAGCTGACTCGCGGCGCGCTGCACTCTCGCTCCAGCGTGCCTGCCGGCGTGACCATGCGCACACGCACCACCAGATCCTCGATGTTACCGTATACGTTCTTCTTCATGCCGGAGGCGCGCGTGGCCACCCAGCCGCCGAGCGTGCTGAACTCATACGAGTCCGGCTCGTGGCCCACGGTGAGACCCTGTTCGCGCAGCACTCGCTCCAGATCCTGACCCACCACGCCCGACTCGAAGCAGACGGTGAGATTCTCTCGATTAAGCCACAGCAGGCGATTCATCTGCGACGTGTCCAGAACACAAATCATGCGCTGCTCCTCCTGCGGACAGGTGATGGCACCCGAAACGCTCGTCCCGCCCCCAAAGGGCAACAGCATCACATTGTGCTTGTGCGCCAGCCTCACCAGCTGCACCACCTCGTCGTGGCAGCGCGGCCACACCACCAGATCCGGTATGCGCCGGAACTTGTTGTGCCACAGGCTGTAGATGTCGTTCAGCGTCTGGCCGTGGCACCGTACCAGCCGGTCGACGCCCTCCTGGGAGTGCTCCACTTTGGTGCAGCCGCGCAGCTCGTTCAGGAAGGGCGCATTCTCCACTGGAGCCGGGTACGTCGGCGGCAGCTGTGGGTACGCATTGGTGTGATCCACGCGCAGATCGAATTTACTTCTCACCCACTTCGTGAAATTGGGTAATTCACAGCCGGCTAGCGGGTATCTGAAATTGAAATAAAAAAATTCAATAAATATCGATTGGCCAAGACTAATTTCAATATTAGTTTTTTTAGTTGGCCGGATCGGATCACTATATCAAATAGATTGAATCGAACTCCTTTATCATTGCTCAAAACTCCATTTCATATCATTTTTTGATATCTTTAATCTTAAATATCATCATTTTTCAAGATAACGCAACACAATTCAGAAATTAGATTTGAAAGAATTGAATTGTATAGGTAGGAATATAGCGTTTGGATTTAACTTGCAGAGTTAGTTTTAAAAATAGAAACAAAAATATATATGCATTCGGATCGAGCCTGTTCAAACGTGTAAACAGCCTCTACACAGAGACTCAGAGATAGAGCTCCGATTTGTATGAACTTAGACGAAACGAAGCCCATGACTTCCGAATTTTATAGCTACTAATTAAATTAATAATGATACTTAGCGTATGGATTAGTCGCCCACAAGGCAGACTCTAGCACTTACTTGTCGCCCTTAAAGCAAATGATGCCCTGCTGTCCATAGAACTGGGAATCGTTGTAGCCCCAGCCGTACCACTTGAGCGCCTCCTGGCTAAAATGAAACAGTGAAACATCAGTTGGAATGACAACTGTGACTATATGCCATATGTACAAAAATACACTCACCGCTTCTTGGGTATTACGCTCTCCACGTGCCGCGAGAGCCGCGTGTCCAGCGCCAGAGATGTACCCTCCGGGGGTGGCTCCGGGACTTGTGTGGTCACCGCATTTCGCTTGGCTGCCATCTCGTTGTACAGTGGAGCTTGGTAATTGTGCGATTTGCTTATGGAGGAAACACACTTTTGGCTGGTATTTAATTATATTGCACAGCCCTTTGAGCGCAAAAATCGATAATTTGTTTTGTTATTTGTTTGTTGTTTTTTTTCGCTTTGGGATTTGCTGTCGTCAGATGAAATAAATACTTGGCCTGCTGCGGCAACTGGGATGCAGTCACATTCAATTTGCTATTTGTTTGGTTAAATATTGAGATGTTAGCTCATAATACTTGATTTCTATTTGCTTGTACTTTGCGCTAAAAACTAAATTAAAATAGAAATTTCACTAAAAAAACAACTCGGCGGCAGCTGCTGCACGCGCTTTGGTTTCAATATCTCTACCACGACTGCCGGGTCCGATGAGAGCGAGCCACGGCGCGAGAGAGAGAGCAGCCCCCAGGGCACGCACTGTGCTTTGGGGGATGGGGCAGAGCGAATCGGTTGACGGCCGTTTGCGAAACGGTTTCGTCTGAGGAACGAAACTAAAATATGTTCGGTAGATGAATACCAAAAAAAAAATTAAAACTGAGCAATCGATGAATTTCAACTGCACGTCTACGTTTTCGTATAAAACTCATTTCATTTTAACAGTTTGTGAGCTACTCTCAATTTGGCCTGTCCAAATTTTTTTTCCAAAAAGTTTTAAAATTTATGTAAATTTCCGTTTCGTGTTCTTTGGATAAAGTGTAATCATGCCTGGCAAAAAGCGAAGCTCTTCCAAAAAAACGGCTAACTCCTCTACACCGGTTTCCAACGAATCGGAGCCGACAAGCCCGGAGGGTGCACCAGCCGTACCTCCGAATCCTGCTGAAAAGGAGTCCAAGAAGAGCAGAACCAAGAGCAGCAAGTCTAAATCCAAAAGCAAGAAGGTTTAAAACAAACCAAAGGATTGACAGTATAAATGATGTGCACAAAAACTATTTGAGGACTTTAAAACAAGGTATACATTACATATTTGTATATAGTATATTATTTATATTACGTTATTATACACATAAAATACAATAGTAAAATCAAATACCCCTTGCATATTGGTAATGCAGAAACGACTGGCTTGACGATGTATTTGGAAAATAAATGTTTGATTTTAGCAAGAGCTTGTTGAAAAGATGGTCAATATAACGCTAGAAAAAGGTCACAATTGTAACAAGGAGCAGCCCCTCTAAACATTCACAGCCGGCATGTCAAGCCGTTTTATACCTGCTAACTAACTCAAGGTAAATATATAATTGAATGGAATATTTAAGCTTGAATAGAATTTTATTTAGGCCGTTGGAACTATGAAACAAGAATTAGTAGGCACTTGAAGATCAAAGCTATGCAGAACTTGAACCAAACAGACCGAATGAATGTAATTTACGTATTTAACAGCACTGGAAACTAAATTCTTTAATTTTACCGAACTCACAATAAAACAAGCCTAGCAGACATAACCGTTTCTCTCACTTAGCGCGCACTCTCCAAGACCCGCTCGCTCTTAGTGTTGTCGGTGCTTTTGTTTACGCGGGGGGTTGGTTGTTTCACAACACGGGCTTGCCGAAAAGGGGGTGGCAGCTGGTAGGCAGGGTGTGTATAACACGCAGCTCTTCCCAAGTGTGAGTCATGTTTTATGCGGAGCGGTTACGTCAATGAAATTAAAACTCTGCGACAGGTGGTTTTAATTGTGAATAAAGCGGGGTGTAGCCATCCAATACATAGAGCTGTTGTTAAACGACGGCCTCTTAAATATTTGAAATTCTCGATACGTAGTACTGCATAAGTAATTTATTGTTATGGGAAATGTAACAGTTGCTCGTTAATTTTAAATTTAAATTGACACCCATATTTATCTATTGTGAACGAGAACACAAGTAAACCAACTATTGTTTTAGTGAGGGAAACTGTTAAAAATAGTTTCGAAAATTGAGTTGAAAGTTGCCTTTCATAAGGAAATGTTATATGTAAATATGATTAGAAAGTTAATACACTGGCACGTAAATATTTTAAAACGATTTTAGCTTAAATTCCCTAGACTCACGATATAGTAAATATAAAACTTTAAAACGACGTTTCAATTCCCAACTGCAATGCGCGAGATTGAAAACAAAACTGAGCCCAAAAAAGCCAATTGCATTTTACGATTTCGTTGTCTCGTTTAGTTGTTAGTAAATTTTCGTCTCTTGCAAAAGCCAACAACAACTCTAAAGCAATGTTTATTATGCGCATATTTACACATCTCTGTACAATTTTATAATTGTTTAAAGTGTAAATTCGTGAGGCGGGCACAACACGAAACGAAAAGTGGACGCTATTTGTTTAATTTTCGCACTGCGCTTAGAGCGCCGTCCATTTGGGAGGGAGGGTCAAAGTTTTGAGTTTTTGTCTTTTATTTTCGCTTTTTTTACTGGCGGCTTGCTCGAAAACTTGCATTGATGTGTTTGCAATGGAGCTTGGAACGCTCAATTTGCACTTCCTTCATTATTGAACACTTTGTTGACACGTGTGATTTACTATATTTGCAAAGCGTTACGCAGCCAGGAAGTGAAAAACAAATATTTACTAGCAAATACTATTCGATTAGCTACAGCCACTGAACAATAGCTTATAAATATTGCTTTTTGTCAATTTAAATATTAACGGTTGCACGCTAGCGACATCTAGCGGAAAATAACCGAGCTGCACAGTAACCGATATTCTTAGCAACACTACTGCTCCGAGTTAATAGCCGGCTTAAACATAGTAACGTAGCATATCATTTTTCTATTATATAATGACACAAATAAGTTACAATATGTAATTAGTGTAAGTTCATCATTACCTGCCCACATAAATAACATTTAGAAGATATACACGATAGTGGGCACTTATTGCAGGTGTATATCGATTACCATAAACACAGTAATCGATACTTATGTGGCTTTGCATTCCTGTGCACTGTGACTGCTGCCAACTCGCAACTTGTCATCTTCAACGCGAAAAACATTAAAGAAAATCCAAATTGAGTGCGTAAATAAACATAAAATACAGGCACAACGCGAAAATAGCGTAACTTGGCAACCGCATAGGTTTGCAAGGTGCCGGCTGCCTAAAGCAAGCGGCCCCAAGCAGACGTAGCATTCCTATTGTTTGTGTTTGTGCGTATATTGCGTGTGTGTGAGTGTGTGTGTGCATGGGCGAGTGTTGGAACAATAACAAGCCCAACAAAATGCGAATGAATTGTAACGGAGCAGCGTTCAATGCGGCCGCTGCCTTTGTGCTGCTGCTGCAGCAGAAGCAGCGATGATTCATAGGTAAGTTATGCGCCTGGCTTACCGCTTATTTGTTTCTGTATGTATGTGTGTGTGTATATGGCTTATGTATATTTTTGTAGCCCACAATAATTACACCAACAACAATAACAACGGCCGTGCCTTAATATCGAACGTAGAGCAATAAAACACACACAAGCACACGAAACGTTGGCAAAATGCCGCTGCTGTCCAAATGCTTCCCTTGCTTCAAATTTAAACGTGAAGAGGTCATCGACAAGCTGGACTACAGCAATACACCGCTCCAGGATGCCTTTCCCGAGGTGTGGCAACACGAACGTACCCTCGAGGAGCTGCATCTGAGTAATGCGCGGGTGAGTATCACCTAAATATAAAACCCATTGAATATATGTCTAATATATGCCTCCTCTTTTTAGCTACAAACACTGCCGCCGCAGCTGTTTTACTGCCAGGGATTGCGCATCCTTCAGGTGAACAGCAACAATCTGGAGAGCATACCGCAGGCCATTGGTTCGCTGCGTCAATTGCAACACCTCGATCTGAACCGCAATCGTAAGTCGCCGCACCCAGCCACGATAATTACTAAAAAATAAACTCCTAATTTTCTGTTCTTTCCAGTTATTGTCAATGTGCCGGAGGAGATTAAGGCGTGCAAACATCTGACCCACTTGGATCTTAGCTGCAACAGCCTGCAACGTCTGCCTGATGCGATTACATCGCTGATATCGCTGCAGGAGCTGCTGCTAAATGAAACATACCTAGAGTTTCTGCCTGCAAACTTTGGTCGTTTGGTCAACCTGCGAATTTTGGAGGTGCGCCTCAACAATCTCATAACGCTGCCCAAGTCGATGGTGCGTTTGGTTAGTCTGCAGCGTCTTGATATTGGCGGCAATGAGTTCACCGAGCTGGTAAGCGTAATATAGTTCATTTCCATACATTCAAGCCTTATTCCGCACTCATTATAGCCAGAAGTCGTTGGAGAACTAAAGTCACTGCGCGAGCTGTGGATCGATTTTAATCAAATTCGTCGCGTTGCGCCCAACATTGGCAAACTTCGCGAACTGCAACACTTTGAGGCCAATGGCAATTTGCTGGACACACTGCCCAATGAGCTAAGCAATTGGCGTAACGTCGAGGTCTTGTCAATCTGCTCCAATAATCTGGAAGCATTTCCGTTTAGCGTGGGCATGCTCAAGTCCCTAGTCACGTTTAAGTGTGAGTCAAATGGGCTGAGCGAGCTGCCCGACAGCATAAGCTACCTGGAGCAGCTGGAGGAGCTGGTGCTGAGCCACAACAAGCTAATGCGCCTTCCCAGCACAATTGGATCGTTGGTCAAACTGCGCTTCCTCTTCGCCGATGACAATCAGCTGCGCCAGCTGCCCGACGAGCTCTGCAGCTGCAGTCAACTGAGTGTCTTAAGCGTGGCCAACAATCAGCTCTCAGCGTTGCCCCAAAATATAGGCCATTTAGCCAAGCTGAAGGTGCTTAATGTTGTTAATAACTACATCAATGCCCTGCCTGTTTCCATGCTGAGCCTGGTAAATCTCACGTCTCTGTGGCTTAGCGACAATCAGTCGCAGCCACTGGTGCCACTTCAGTATTTAGATGCCAGCAGCAAGACGCAGCTCACGTGCTTTATGCTGCCACAGGTGACATTCAAGATGCAGGCCCAGCAGCAACAGCAGGTCCAGGACCAATACGAGTTTGTCTACGCGAATCATCAGCAGCAGCCACAGCAACCGTCGAGCCCATCGCGTCGCATATGCTTCGCCGAGGAAGCGACCATTCTAAGTGCGGGCAGCACCAACACTAACACCAGCAGCGCACCGCAGCCCGCTCCGAGCTACTCCGCCAGCTATGTGACTTCTCCGCCCACTCCTGAGCAGCTGCCTGCTGGCAGCTCGGTGCGTTTGATGCGTTCACCCACGCCGTATCCGAAGGAGCTGCGCCAAATGGCCAAGTATATGCGTCAGGCGCAGGCGGCGAATGCGGCGGCATCGGGGTCCAGCGAGGTGCGAGAGGCGCGTGTCGTGGTGCCAAACGGCCAAGTGGCCATGCCACTCTGTGATAGCAATCAGGACGCTGTGGATCATGCCACGGCGAGTGCAATATATGGCGTTGCGCCCGAGGCGGCTCACATTTACGGTGTCTACCAGCCGGCGCAGCAGCAGGCCACACAGGAATATTATGGTTTGCCGCTTGTCAACTACGAGGCGCACTACCAGCAACTCTATGTGGATGCCAACAGCTTGCCGCTGCCTACTACGCATTTGTCAAATGGAACAGAAGAGAATTATGAGCTGCAACCGCTACAACAGCAGCCAGCAGCGCCTCCACCACGCATGGAACCGCCGCCCTATCACATAGCGCGCGTGTATACCAAGAAAACGCCCGAAGATCTCACGCTCTACGAGTCCATGCGACAGCGAAAGCACCAACAACAACAAGAACAACAGCAGCAGCAGCAACATCAGCCAACAACACAGCCGCTCTACGAGCAGAGCAACAGCTACCAGGATGCGCTAAATAGCAACTTCAAGACAACGGCAATTGGTGCTCAATCAGATGAACTGGACTACCAGAACAATATCAACATGGAGCAACTTGAACTGCAGCAGCTGGAGCAGCAGCAGCTTGAGCTTGAAGATGAGCAGCAGCAGTTGCAGGATGTGGATGATACCTTATCGCAGAACTCATTAAATTCCACGGCCACCAACAATACATCTAGGACTAAAAAGTCAACCTGGATCTTTGGTGTGCACAAAAATCCCACTGTTAAGCAGGTGACCCTCAAATGGGAAAACAGCATTGGCTTCGACATTGCCGAGCTGCTTAATCAGGTGATTATATCGTCTTAACAGGGTATTTAATGTTCTGACACCATTCCTCTCCCATTTAGGTGGGCATCTTTGTTAGTGCTATCACGCCAAATTCAAATGCCGCGCGCTTGCTGAGCCTCAACGATAAGCTGCTGGAGATCGACGGCTATGACCTGACCAATGCCAATCTGAGCGATGCCAAACGTGTCCTGCTTAACTGCGGCACAGTCATAAATATAATGCTGTCACGCAAGTGATGGCCCCTTTCGTCTCCCACTCCCCCCATGCCTCTATATACTGAGACCGAAGACTTGCGCATTTTTCTAAAGTAACTTGAAATACGCTAATATAAATCAGCAAACCATGCTAATATGCAACTGCATTTTCAAGCCATAAACAACCTTTGCACTGGCGCCTTAAACTTGTAATAATAACAGTTGCAGACGAAATAGCATAACCAGCTTCCAGTTGATGCATTTCATTTAGTTAGAATCTATTTCAACTGCCATTTACAATACTTAGCAAAAGCGCTATGTATGTACATACTCGATCTATCATTTGTGAGTTCATAAAAATTGTATTCTGTTTAGTTTGGTTTAAAACACATTCTTCATTATATGCGAAATAAAAAGTATTTTAAGTATTCGAACTGTAAGCTAAGGCAAACGTATTTTACGGAAAAAATGCTGAGCGAGCAATTGTTCTAAACGCCTTTGAAACTATTCGATAGATTGTTACTTGAACACACGACTGTATTAAAATATTTTTAATAACTAGGTTTCAGTTTGAAGTTGTTGAAACATGGACCAGTATTTGATTGGTATTCAAAATTAAGCAATATTATTTATTCTGTATTAAAAGTTCTACACTTTATTATAACTCTTGAAAACATTAAGCATAATTATTTGTATCAAATTTGTATAATTTATAACTGGATAGTAGACTCCAACTAACATACACTTATTATATATTTATCTGAAGAAGTATGAAATGATGAAACATATTGAATAACAAACGATTGCTTTTAGTTTAATATTAATCTCAAAGTGGGCCTTTATTTTTGGCCGCCAGTGTAATTTATAGCAAACATACAGAAAATATAATAAATAGTGCAATTAGCGTTGATTATACGTACATACAATTACGAGTACCATATAGACAGCATTTACAAAACAAGCACATATATACACATTTATATGTGCCTAGATATACATATATATACAATATTTACAACTAGCGCCTATTTTACGCCCAGCGTTGTTCAAATTTGTTCCAAATTGAAATGATTATGTGCTTAGATTAAGGTTAAACAAAGATATTAGCTGTTTATGTTAGTTGTTATGGTGCAGCAATATAAATTCTATATGAACATAAAGATATGTATTCTATATATTTATTGTCTACATCAATCATTTTTCTATTAAAAATTGTTAAATTCTCATACCATTGGCGTTGTGAACAGTATTATTTTTTAGCTGATTAACATTTGAATATTATGCTAAAGTTTGACATTTCTATATCTATTAGATCCAAACATTAACACACACACACAAATACAGCTAGCATAAGATCGCACTTTATATGAAAATTCATTTTGTTTATACGCGCTACAACAAATCACCGAAACAAAATGCAAAAAAAGAAATCAATAATTAAATAAACACAACAATTTTTCACTTAAGCTTGTCTTTTGCCTTTCCCATTGTATAATTAACAGCTGAACTCCTTTGATTAATTTCCTAGCTGAGTCTTTGGATGGTTTTTGTGTTGTTCCTATTGGCAGGGAATTATCAATGCAAATTAATTGTCAACAAAGGCACGCAAATAGAAGTAAGGCTTTGAAGAAAAAAAGCGTACGTATGCTTGCTGTAATATACCCTGGAATAGTTTGACATATTTTTTCAAAATACAAATGTAGAGTGGAATTAAAATTAATGTTTTTGATTGGAGGATCAAGTACTTCATCAAAATTACTTAGCAATATTTTTTATTACACTTACATTAATTTAACTATAGATAATTTTGTACATATTTCTTGTGTAAATTAATCAGGTATGAAAATATTCTTTCGCTTTCAGGATTACAGGCCCCAAAAAGCATACATTGAACAAAGTGTTCCTCTGTATGATAGTGTCTAGTATTAAATACTGTTTTAATAGGAGCTTTTATCTCATACTTTGATATCCAATGTTCCTTTTTCAGCGATTTTCTGATTTCGCGCATTGTTGCGCTTGCACTATATGTCTTGGAATACACTATATTGTAAGCTGGCACTGTTGGAGGTCGGTGACAGTAAAATTGATATCGTACGGTTTGATTTCCCTTCATAATGGGTTTAACACCACACCATTCCGTTGCAGAAGAATCATCGACAACGGCTGTGAGCATTCGAGTTCCAATTAAAAGTAGACTGAAATGGGCCGTGCAGTCGGCAAGAAAAGTATTTCTGTCATATTTTATAGAAGATTTTCCTTTATGTCCAGTTTCTTTGCAACCTCCAATGGCCAAAACTTTTGTGTTTAATGTCAATGTTGCCGCTGCTGCAAATAATATATATTTTAATTTTATTTAAATATTTGTGTTTGTTTAGAAAAACGTTTGCTGCATCTTACTTGTATCTATTTCTGCATTATCGTTATTCAGATTTCTTTCGGTTTCTTTCATTGTACTTATAGTATAAATTGACTAGTTATTTCTTTGGCGCAAACTTTGGGATTGGTAAAAGCCTTTTGTTTGCGTTGCATTTATACACTGAACATAATGAAATACTTCTAATTTCACAACAAATGTACTGCAAGCTCAGCGAAAGCTTAGAGATAAGTTTATAGCTATTCAAGAACTTCTTTATTCATTTTTTTGAAATTATTTTGGACTACCAAAAATATTGCTGCTAAGAACCAAAACTAAAAACCGATTTGTTGGATAAAATACAGCTAAGTTTAATGTTTGTATCTATAAAAATGTATTTATTCATATAGATGTACGTCTATATGTAAGTGTGTATGTTCAGAACAAGTTCCTTCCCGTTACAATGCTTATAAAAAAGAAGCAATAAGGTATAAATGTTGCCCTTCTACCCGATTCTCAATAATTCAAAATAGTCACGTTTTCGTACATTGATTGTCATTTGAATATTAGCAAGTTGTTTTGGAAAACAAATAACTACTTTATTTTCTATTTATTCATGTTTTATGCATGTTTTTACATATGTAATTGTTACAGCCTTCCTTTAGTTTTATAATGCTTCTGTTGTTACATATTAATAGTGTGTTACATTCAGATATCGATATGTACAATGATAATATCAAATAAAAACTAGAAACTATAATAATATAAACTACAGGCATTTCTACAACCTTAGCATACATTAAGGTTTTGTTTCTTAAATATATAATATATACATATAAATATCACATTTAAAAGCTAATGAACATGTTACAATTGTTACAATTAACTTAAAAAAAAAAAGAAAAAGCAATTTTCTCATATTCCTACCTTTTTTTTAACATGTTCTTTGTGTAAGTAATACAAAAACTGAAACATCCTGTACCTTGCAGCGTCAAAGGCCTCAACAAATATTTGATCAACCTTAGACCTATAGCCTTTACAGCCCTTTTCGTTTAGAGGCATTTCTACAACATACTTTGATGTCCAGTTTTCTTGTTGTAGTCGCTTTCTTATATCGTGCAATATTGACTCGGCATTAACTGTCTGGCCACACATCATATAGCCATTATCCCTACGATTGGAATGACAATAGAATTGAAAGCGTTGGATTTGATTATCTTCCCCGATTTTTTTCATTTCAAGAAGTTGCCACTTCTTATCCACTTCTATGGGCGTACGAGTTTCCATTAGAAGAAGTCCAAAATGTTTCTTGCAGTTGTCAAGAAAAACGTTCTTGTCAAACTTAACCACAGGTTTTTTTTTAGACCTAAGGTTGCGCCTCCGATCGCCAATGGACAAAACCTTGGCTTCTGAGGTCAACGTCGCCACAGCTGGAAATATGTTAATATTAAACATGTGTTTACCGGCATGAAAAGATGTATCTTACTTGTATCGCTTTTTACATTATCATTTTCCGCAGTTGTTTCCGTTTGTATCATTTTATTGCTGTATTAAAATGCTTCAGTTTCACAGCTGACGAACTATTTGCTTGACGTAAACTTTTGGATTGGCAAAGCTTCCAAGCTGACGCCACTTTTATATGCAGCACTACGCGAAATACTTATGACAATTTCACAACTCTGCCAAAAGCTTTTTTTAAAAGCTTAAAGGTGCGCTCTTGCACCAATTATTTTTGTTTACGTTTTCAATAGCTGTTCTTTGTATTTTACAGGGTATGCTAAGTTAATAATTACTTGTGATTAGATTCTCTGTGTAAATATTGTAAATACTGCACAAATTTGAAGGTCCTCCTTGTTTCCACATCAAGGGCCTCGGAAACAACCTCTTTAATGTAGTGATCGGAGCCGTAGTATTTTTTGCCACCAATTTTTGTTTTCAGAGGCGTTTCTATGACATTATTTGATATCCACTTTTCCTCTTTCAGTCGTTTTCTCACCAGAGCCATAACTTCCATTGCATTAAAGGTGGGGCCAAATATCATCGTACCTCTTGGATAACTGTTACCTTTCTGACGAAAAAAGTGATAACGCCTGGGTTGATTATCCTCCTTAATGCTCGCCGCTCCAAATTTTTCAACCGCGTCCCAATCTCCGACAACGTCTACAGTTTTTCGACTACCAGTTAATAGCAGACAAAAATGCTTTCTAAAATCTTCCTGAAAATTATTCACGTTGTATTTGAATGAAGGCGGCTTCTTTGTGAAGCATTCCTCATCTCCGATTGCCAATACTTTGGCCTTGCACGTGATTGTAGCGACTTTTTGGAAATACATACGCATTATAGAAATGTTCAATATTGTTCTTCCCTTTTTTTTTTACATTACCCGTCTCTTTTTCAGTTTCTGCATTAAACTCTTCCATTATTATATTTGTTTGTTTACTTTTACGAAGTCAACAAATCCAGCACAGCTGACGAACTGACTGTTGCTCGAAAACCTACTTTGCGATTGGCAAAAAGCTCTTGACAAATGATGAAATCCCATTCATTTCACAAAAAAGCTCAACAAAAGCTCAAGTAGTAAGTTCTGTTTCTGTTTACGTATTGCACAGCTGTTCTCCCAATCGTACCGGCTCTTACACATCCATATACATAAGTGCCGGATCTGAATAAGTCTTAGACAGACTTACAATGGAACAATTTTGGCAGACATTTAAGCTATTAAAATAAGTTCAGTATATTGCTTAGCTTACTTAGTGGATATTTGGAGGTCTTGCCATACAAAGAAAGCTCTTTGTTAAAAAAAAAATACAAAATACTTTATTAAAGTAATTAGAATTTAAAAAATAACTTAAAATTACTTCATATGTCAAAGAAACTATTTACAATACTGCAAAGCAGAGTAAGGGCAGCGCCTGCACTGCCTGAAAGTTCAGTTACGTATTTACAGGGTATGCTCGAATAGTCTTGTTACTTGCGAATAGATTCTCTGTGTAAGTATCGCAAGAATTTAATGAGCTTTACCTTTTCAGCATCAAGAGCATCCGAAACAATTCCTTGAATATATTGATCGGAGCCGTAGAATGGGTTATCGGGACGACTCACTTTTGTCTTCAGAGGTGTTTCTATGACATTCGATGATATCCAATTTTCCGTTTTCAGTCGATTCTTAACTAGATTCAGAGCTTCCGCTGCGTTCAAAACGGGCCCAGAAATAATCTCACCAGTCGAAAAACTGTTACCGCGCCCACAAGAAAAATGATAGCGCCTGGGTTGATTATCCTCCTTAATGCTCGCCGCTCCAAATCTTCCAACCGCGTTCCAATCTTCGACAACGTCGATTGGTGTTCGATTTCCAGTTAATAAAAGACACAAATGTTTTCTGAAATCTTCCCGCAAAAAATTCATGTTGTATTTTGCTGGCAGCTGCTTGTTTTTGGGGTATTCCTCATCCTCGTCTCCAATAGCCAAGACTTTTGTCTTGGACGTGATTGTGGCGACTTCTGGAAAAACGTATGTATTGCAAAAATTAAAAAAAAACCTTTTGTTTAATTGAAACGCTAAATTTACCTTCCTCCTTTTTAGTTTCCGCATTATCTTTTTCCATGTTTTTCTTTATTTATTTACTTATTTTGCAGTACGCAAGCTACGGATCCAACACAGCTGACTCTAGCTTGAAGACGAACTCTGTGATTGGCAAAAAGCTCTTTCGATTGCGCCACTTTTATAATAACGAAAATGTTGGGCAAAAAGCTCCTTGAAAGCTTTAAGTTGTGTATGTTTGTATTTTTGTTTACGTGCAAATTGTATTTCGGCTAAAATGCAAATATAATCATGAAACTTTTCGTGAGTTTCAATGAGTCAGTTCGACAGTTCAGACTATCAGCTGTATTTATCACTTAATTGTCGCCCCTGAAGTTTATTAAAAGAGAGAACCAACAAACAATGGAAATTGTAACAGAAGCTAATCAAAAAAAAAAATCAGAGGTCTTGGCTATAGGCGATCCACAAGAGTATTCCTCCATCAAGAGAAACGCACCGAAACGTGATCGAGCTAACTTGCATGCAGACTGTAAAAAACGTTTGGCGCAACTTATCTTGGATAATGCCGTGGATACGAGGAGTGAGGAGCGCTCTGTAGATTCCTTCGGAGCCGAGAGCATTCAGATAAACAATGAAACACGACATATTTACTTCCAGTGCAACCAACCCGTCAACGGGTGCATGTTTTGGGTGCGTACAAATGATTCCCAGTCCCTGTTGCGGACGGTCAAACAGAAACTAGGCAAGGAAAACTGGATCTCAGAGAATACAATGGAAGTATCCTTAAAATCGAAGCATAACAACAGTCAGGAATTCAGTAGAATCGAGGGGCGTATTTACAGAATAGTCTCCGGTTACCTCTCGGAACAGGATGCGCGTATACATCAGTTTCTGTGCTGCATGCAGCTTCAGCACAGGAAATATAATAAGATCAATAATAAATAATCAGAGTCAAGGCTGTGCTGAGAACTTGCAAATGACTTAGAACTACAAAATAATAGTTATTTATTTAAGCATTAATATATATTGAGTTTATATTTGTTTTTTAACTTTTGTCAAAGACAACAAACTAGTAAAATGAATCTATGGGGGTGTGTGTTATCTTCTGGTCTGGTATAGCTTTTTGCCAATATATAAAAAAATTACATTTCAGCCAATCACATACGCGCGGGGTCTACATTTTACCCGAAATTAACTATGGATATCCAAACATGTGAAACAAATCAAGTTCATGAAATTTTAACGGCGATCTTATTAGTATTAATGAAACAAGTATTACTTTAAGGAATTTGACTTAGCACTGTGTTAAGTACTTTAATTTATAAATACATAAATTGCAATTAATTAAGCGCAGTTAGATTTGAGGTCTTTTACATAGGAATGTACTGAGTATTTTATAAAAAATTTAATTTGATGATTGTGGTAAAAAATGTAGCTTCTAGGATTTTTAGCTTATTGTATAAATGTAAATGTATATATAATTTTATTTCCATTAATTGAATTCAAATAGCTTAAGACTGTTATTTATTAACACTTCTATATACTATTTATTAATAATCGATCGAATGTCAACCTTATTATTTAGTACAAAAGCATAGAAAAATTAAAAGCCTTAAGAATAAACAGAATACAACAATTTTTAAAAGGAAAAAGTGTACAGAAATTTGTATTAAAGTAAAGAATATTAAGTAAATTAATTAATGTTTATTGAAAAATATTAATAAATACTTAAATTTCCATAAATTAAGCACAAACAACTTGAAGCATATTTATTCAAGAATGTTCTAAGTCTTATTAGTGATTATTTTTTAAAATATAATTTGTATGCTCTAGGAGTAAATATTTACAGAAATATATCGGAAAAGAAATATATATTAAAACAAAATTGTTTTCTTCTTTTTTATTTGAATATGTTAAACCCCGAACCTCGAGCCAGCTAAGTTAATATTTATTTACAGAAATTAAATAATAAATAATTAGAAATTAAATCTATACTCTGTCTATATGAATCCATGTTCTTAGTGCGTGTTGAATATCTAGAGTGACATCGTCTAACTCGATGTATATAAGGAACTAGTGCTAATTTCTTCAGGAACTGACAGTTCACATTGTACCCCATTTGGGTCTCAGGGCAAAAATGTATCGAGGGAGCTTCTCTGTGCACAGGGAGAATGTCAATATACGCCGCTCAGGATAAAAACAGAATTCTTTTCCTAGGATTTTACTACCTGGTTGTTCTATCACTACCCTCCAAATGCATTTAACTCTTTAAGCTAGGCGCAGGATAGACGCTTCGATACGCTCTTTCTTAATGGCCTTAAAAGGTTAAAGTAGGTTTCGCTAGTGCACTTACCAAAACCTAACCATGCCTCTTGCGTCGCATTAAATATTCCTTACCTTTGATTTATATCAGATATTTAATTGCGTGCTGCAGTAAACGACTTTGCTTAGAAATTTAAATTGTTTTGCTCAAAAAGAATATTAAAGAAGTTCCATTATTATTTGATTTGATAATTAAACTGAAAAGCAAGAAAGACACACGCTTTAAGTTGCCATGAGGATTGCCAGTTGCCAGTTGGAGGCCTTGTCCTTGTCATGTTTCGCTTTGTTATCTCCATCGACTCTTTTGTTGTTGTAGTTGTTGCTGCTGATATTGCTGGCAACAACTACAGTGGCTACAATAAAACTACGTACAGCGACGGTAAGCGGCTTGAAGCGGCGCTTTTTCATTGACCTTCGCGTGTGGAAAATTCTGTCTTTTTTGTTATTTTCACTTGTTTTTCATATATCCACCTCCCACACACACATACACACACACAAACGCAGTGCTAAGAATAATCGCCAAGGCCCAAATTTGACATATGATGTGCCAGCAGCTCCGCTGTGTGCCAAATACATTTATCAATACTTGTTTTTTCCGCCGAATCGAAATACAAAACTAACACAAACTGTCACACTATCCATTCATTCATCCATCTATCTATCTATCTATCCACCCATCTAAATATCCGTGCATCTATCTAGCTATCACTACCGAACCCCTTCCCTGCTGCTGCCCTTGGCGCGGGTCATTAGCATTTTTGGCGTGTATTTATGGCCGCAAAATATTACGCCATAAACATGACCGCCAAACAAAATGCGACAAATTTGCGACGCCCCCAAAAAGCAAGAGGGAATGAAGCTTGGTGGAGGGGTTGGGGGCGAGTCCAGCAGGCGTATGTTGTTCCTTGCCTCGAGTTGACAACAAATTTATGCCAACCCCACCGCGGGCAATATAATTGTCACATTTATATGTAGAAAGCTGGGCGGCGGGGGCGTAGAGAGAGAGAGAGGGAGAGAGCGCGCAGCCAATTGATATGAGCAACCGAAAAGTGTTGTCTTACGCTCAATTTGAGGCAGGGCTCAAGGCAGCGAGCGTTTCAATTGCAATGCATTAGCAGGACACCCTGCCTGATTATGCACGACTGCGAAATACCCTGTTTTTCGGTTTCTTAACTTTATTCGAAAAAAGAAAAATTAAAGACGATACTTTAAAAGTTAATTTAACAATAAAAAAAAATCCTTTGCTAAGTGAGAATTTGGCGATAACACCGAATTTGTTCAAATAGAGTAAACAGAATACTTTGTCTTCGAGCAATTAGTGGAAAAGGTAGCAAGCAATAAGGCTTCATTTAATGGGTAAAGGTAAAAGATACAGTTAGTTCTATCGCAAATGTATCTCCAAAGCGATATATTCTTCAGTTTATTGCGAAATAAATATTGCATGTTAAGCAGAGTCTCTCAAGTAACTCATTTTCAGGTTATCCGAGATATAAACGTTAGAGAAAGTTCTATCGCAAAAGTATCTCCCCGGCGATACATTATTGAGCTTGTCTGTTCAGCAGAGTCGCAAGAGAAACTCACATTTAGCTTGTCAAAAGAGAGAATTATCTCTATCGCAAATGTATCTCCCAGGCGATACATTCTTCAGTTTGTTGCGAATTAAATATTGTCTGTTAAGCAGGGTAGCGTAACGTTTCCCTGTTTCTTACGCTTTACTGTCGCTCAAAAATGCTCAAGCTTGTTTCCCGTGGACGACAGAGCCACAAACTTAACTCGCGCAATAAAAGCTGTTTGTAGGGTATCGTAAAACTCGCTTAATTTCACGGATTAATTCATTTTGATGGTGTCTACAACTGATTGATGGTTGCGAGTATTTTATTGACTACTTAAGCTGCCCTATTGCCGAAGGAGAAGCTTAAGACTTCAGTTTCGTAAGAAGCCAACACAAAAGTGTTTTGTTGCAAAGCACTTGTTATAGTTACGCTACCCGCTTGGCTAATGCCATATTCATTGCATACTTGGCGGCGCTTGGGGCTGCTCAAAAAGTAAAGTTTATTTTTATGCTCAACGACGACGGCGTCGGCGACATGTGTGCAAATGTTAACACACAGCAAACACACACTAGCACACACATACGCACACACTCACGCAGTAAAGTGCTGAGCTGTGGGGCTTAAGCTCACACACACACACACACGCACACGCACACTCAAAGCGAAACAAATCAACTCGGTTTTTGGCGCCATGCGGCGCGCTCTGTCTACAGCTTTGGCTTTGGCTTTGGCTGTGGCTCTGGCGCTGGCGTTGGCTCCGGCGCTGGCTGTGCACTTTTTCTAGCCACAACAGAAAGAGCCATCGACAACGCAACTCGACCAGAAACAGTCCAGACCCGTGGCCAACAACTACTATACAAATTTTCTTCAGCTCTTTGTGGCATTATTGTGTGTTGTTTAGTGTGCCATTGACGCTGAATGCTGACGGTTCGCGCTGCCGCCCATTCGCTGCCGAATAAAATATAATAATAATAATACTTACTAACAAAAGCAGAGCATAACTAATTGGGCTAAGAGCAAAGGTGTTAATAAAGACTCTGAAATTATTAAGCTTTTTAATGAAAGTGCATTCGTGCTGTTGGCAAACTTTGTTGCATTGTGTAACCAGCTCTAGTCGCTTGCATTTTTAATGCAATAACTAAATGATTATTAACTGAAATCGATTTTCAGTGCCCGGCCCGGCCCGGCTATGTCGTTTCTGTCGCCAACGCTGCGCATGGAGAACCTGTCAACAGTGCCCATCATGAGTCTGGACCACGTGCCCGAGGCACAGCGCTACAACAAAGAGAACATCGTTGCCCAATGGTGTGCGCCCATCAATGGCAAGGTTCACTTCATTTCCATTCTGAATAGCCCCCTAGAATTTCCCCTATCCCTAACGCCACGTTGACTATCATTTAATTAACTTTCGGCCCTGTGTTCTTTCAAATGCGCCCAGATGTACCGCATCGAACTGGAGCACGGCACCACAAGTGGACGCCGCATGATCTGGGTCAATGGTCGGGTAAGTGGTGAATGCACTTTCAAAGCACACCCCAATAACAGCGCAATTAGTCACACAACCGCCATAAACAAGTGTATGTATTAAGCACAGGGAAATATTTATTTTAGTAAATTCTAGAAAGACTGCGTTACATTTAATATGTACTATCTTATTAACTTCAGTGCTTATTGCAGGCAACATAAAACTTTATTACTTTTCATATATATAAAACTCTCTTTCCGGACTTATCTCTGTGAGAGAGAGGTGTTTATTATTTACATTTTATTTTATTTGCGGGTTTCAGCGATTTTGGAAATTTCACCCGCAAATTGGAAAAATTGGCAGAAGATAGTTGTATAATACTTGAGCTCAGTAATGTCCGAGATTATAAGAGCAAGAGAATCGAAATTTTAAATGCAATTTTATGGTCAGGCATATCGAGTTTGTTTCAACTGAAATCAGCCATATCTTATATAGACAAGAGCTAGATACAATTCATACTAAGATACAGAAAACTTTGGAATAACTCCCCCATTCCTCTTAAAATTGTAAAACATTCATTTCTTGAATGGTCTAAGGAGCTTACAAAAATTAAGATGTCATATTTATGCCCTGCTCTGAACTGGATAAAGATCGGACTATAAAGGCCGAGTTTGTTAAAGAAGAAGCTCAGCCGCAGCGTACAGTGCGCATCAAGCATGTGCGTGTGTAATATTGAGTATGATTAGAAGGATGCTAGAATACTTGTAATGAGAGCTCGGCCCTGGGTTCAGGGTAGAGATGGAAGTGGACCAGGTTTTTACGCCACGAACCAACATGAACATCTAACTGACACAAAAAGCCCAAAAGAGTCGAGAAATATATATACAGCGGGTATTCGCCGGGCTTTTTCGTGGGAAGTTTTGAGCTTCAAATTTTAGAAAACAAACTTTTGTTCACTCAACCTTTGACTCTATTTGGAATTCCCAAGTTCGCTGAAAAACATATGTAATCCTGATTACTAAAAACATCATATCATTATGTCCGTCTCTGTTAGCTGGTCTTTCAATTTAAGAGATATTTTCATTAAACTTTGTCTTTGTCTTTATATATTATACGCACAATTGACAGTTGTATTTTGTTTCTTAGATTCGATCAATACTTATCAATATCGAATCCCTATATGATACAGCTACATACCTTGGGAACGCTCAAAATTTAATTTCTTATATGAAAAAGAATTTCGTTTTTCACCATATGTTGATTAGATTTACGGCCTTCACGATAATTTATTTCATCAGCATTAGACTAATCTCTATATATAAAACTGTTTGTTCTGACTGACTGACAGACTGACTGATTGGTGATCAACGCACAGCCCAAACCGTAAGAGCTAGGAAGCTTAAATTAAAAATGTACTGTAGCTACCTTATGTGATGTAGGTGCACGTTAAGACGGGGTTTCGGGAAATTCCACTCGCAAGTGTGGAAAAATCGCGAAAAACGTTTGTATGTAACTTTTTTGTTTACCATCCGATCGGCCTCAAACTTATTTTCAAAGATCTTTGTTCAAATTCATATAAAAACAAAATGAATTCATGTTCTGGAATTTACTTCCCCAATTTATTGCTGTATTTGATTTTTGCAGGAGGTGTTGCGTCGAGACTGGATGTTTAAGTTGGTTGGCGAGGATACGTTTGAAATCGATCAGGCGCGGTGCATTATTCGCGTGGATCCCGCGCCAGGTTTCAAATATGAATACTCGCTGTACATAGATGGCAAGCCGCACGCTCAGTACGCCGAGGAGCTGACACGCCTATATCGCCTCTGGCTCTGCACATGCGGCACGGAGCAAGCTGGGGCCACGGATGCGTCCCAGGAGTACCGCATTATGCTCAAGCTGGACACGCTCAGTTTGTATGTGAACGATGAGCTACGCGAGGAGATGGTATGTAGTAAACCGGAAGCAGACCGCTTGCCAAGCTTGGCCATCAATCATGACGACCTTATTTTTAGGCCGTTTTTGTGCACGGCGGCACGGATACGAGTTTTGTGCTGCAGGACACACAATTTGTATTACAGGCACGCTCAAGCGGCAACAAACACGATGGCATCGTGCACACCCTGCTCGTTAACGGCGTGCCTGTGCCGGAAGCAAAGATACAGCAAATCATGCAGGAACCCGTCTCCATACTACAAACTAACTGAATCCAGCTAAGACAAAGGGCATCACATTTGCATCTGTTCAGTAATTCCTTGTGTTTTTGACAACTTAGATCCCTACTAAATCGGTTTCAGTAATAAATAATGGGATTACTGATGCCGTTGTCTATAGAAATCTATCCAATGTATACCCATGTAGAGATATGTTAATTATATGCAACCAGGTCGCTCAGTTTTAAAGCTATCGTCTTGAAACTTTATTGGAAGACTATACATATGTTGGAATCGATTGGATTGGACCAATATATCATATAGCTGTCTTGGGAGCGATCGATCAAAAATTAACTTCAGCAGCTTTTATAATATTCACTATGTTCCTTATATCTGAGCAAAGTTCTAACAAAATTGGACTGCTATATCATATATAATAGCTCTAATGCCAGAATTTGTTAATAAATAAATTTGTATAAGACAGAATTTTCTGATTTTTTTATATATTCTATTCTCTTACGATATCTGCAAAACTGTATCGAATCAAACTACGATATCTACAAGGATATTTTATCTTGAGCGTTCCTTTCTTTACTTTTTTTGCTGACATTGAGAATTTGCCAGGGCCACGTCCATAATAAACTAGAAATTGTTTAAAGTTTTACTTACACAATAGTTTATTCGTTTGTTTATATGCATAATTGTAACGCAAATTGTTTACGTTCTCAATTTCATTTGACATTTTGCTAGCATTCAAAGTACTCGAAGTGCATTTTGTATAAAAAAGAAAAATAAATGTATCGGAAACAGCACTTGAAAAAAGAAACATACAAATACATTGTTAAACTAAACAAATATATTTAAGTTAAATACTTGAAGAAAAAATATATGTGTCATAAATATATATTTTCCTAAAAAGTTTTGCCGTCTACAATTGATTTTGTTATGTTTTGAAAACTTTTGAAAAATTCCTCTTACATTAAAAACCATTCTCATGAATTCATTGCTGTTACTACGTTTTTTTTTTCACAATTAAAAGGTGCATACTAAATTTGTTCAGTGTTCATCGTCTGCTTGTTACGTAGGTATGTACGTATGTATGTAAATGATGTACTATGTTACGCTTTAATTGATTGCTTGCTATTATTTTCGTTTAATCAAAATATGTTGTTAGAATTTGTATTTGTGTTTAATAATTTTAAATTGCTTTACGTGTTGTCACTTTGAATACATTAACAATTAACTACTTCTTTGTTTTTTGTTTTGTTTTATTTATCATATACGATTCATTTCAATAATTTGTAGATAATTAAAAACACAATTTTGTAAATTTTCATTAAAGTTAAAGCAACACAATGATATTTTTTGTTTTAATACTAATTTAATTCTTTTTTGTTTGTTGATTTACTTTTGTTTTTTAACATCTCTACTCGTTAATGGGTTATAAAACATAATTTACACGTTTTTATTTTATATGTTTTTATATATATATTTTTTTTTAAAACTCACGCGGTGCAAGAAATTGGAACAATTTTCTGGGGAACACAAAAAGAGACGTGTTTTGAAAATGATTCAATATTCAATTTGTTTGCAACGACCAATAAAATGGGACAGTGATAAAAATAATAAATTTATTGCTTTCTGAAAATCTCATACTTATACGTATTTTACAAAAATTTAACAACAATTTCGTATAGTAAGTACAATGTGGAATGTGTTTCTAATACTTAACAAAACAAAAAAATTGCCAGTAGACGGATGCTTCTTCTTTTTTTTACGATATTGTGTAAATTTAATAATACAGAAAATACAATAAATTATCGTTTGCTTATAAATATATATATATTTATTTTAGAGCGATTCAATTTTTGTTCGTGTCATCAAATTTTGATAATGTTCTTTTTTTTTTTTGATAATTTTGCCAGTTCAATTAGGTCTACACTTTAATGGATTTTCTGCTTACACACACTTGTATCAATTTGTTGCTGTTGCTTTTAAAAACCGTTCTGCTCACTAACACTAACACACATACATTTTACATAATAATTACGCGCTTAAATATAATAGATTGATTTTGCATTCCTTTTTTTTTTTAAATAGTGTATCTATATTTTTTCTCTTTTTTTTTTGTTTGTAGTAAAATTAAATGTTTTGCTTTTAAATATTTAAAAATTATATGTTTATATATGTATATTTTGTTTAGATGCTAAAAATGTTGTTGCATACTTTTTAGGTGAATTTGCTGAAAAGTCTTGCATTGAGTTATGAAATTGTTTGTTGCAGTTGTGTGTTTGCTGTTGTTGCTGTTGTTGTTGCATGCATAGATTTTGCCTAGCTGCCTAGGTGCTTAAATAGTAAAGTAATCATTTGTAGTTTAGTGTAATACTCGCAACTTGTGACCGTTTTTTCTTCGTTCTTTTGTTTTTGGTATGAAAGTAGTGTTCGTTTTAAGACATGTTTTATATAGAAGATTACAATTGCTTAATTTTGTATTTGCTGTTTTTTTTTTAGTATTTTATGTTTTTTTTTTTTATATATATATATATTTTTGTTGCATTTGCTAGTTGTTGTTGCTGTCTGCTATCTGTTGCTCTTGTTGCTGATCTTTATCTAATTCGTAATTTTAATTAGTTCAATGGAAGGCAAAACATGTGCTGCAGTAGACTTTTATTATTATTTGCTTGCATTTGATTATTATGATTGTTATTGTTACCATTATGATGATGTTGCTGCTGCTGATGCTGTTGCAGTTGCTGCTGTTGCTGTTGCAGTTGTTGCTGTTGTTGTTGTTGTTGCTGTGGGTATGGATGATATTGCTGTGCCTGTAGCGGTTGCTGTTGGCGATAATGTTGCTGCTGGCTTATATTATTATTGGTATTGGCTGCACCTCCCGCGCTGTTCAAATGCAAGAGACTCAAATCGTCAGCCACGGAATCGTAATCACTGGAATCCTCGCCATAAAGCTGCAAGAGTTAATGATGAAATTCAATTTCAATTAAAGAGTCTAAAGAAATTGAAATATGGGTTGTTTTTTTGCTTTTGCAGTAGATAAAATAAAAGCGGAGTGAAATGTCTAAAAAAAATATAATTAAAGATCAGTTTCAGCTTGACACGTACTTTAACATTCATGTTAAAAGTTTGCCAAGAACTTTATTCGCTGACAAATGAAAGGGTACTGCAGAGTTGTCACATTGCAATGCATAGAGAACACATTTATCATGAAGATAAATGTATCCCTAGTTTTACATATAGTACCTCAAAAGTATGATCTGTTGGTTAGGTTTACTTACACGCATATTATATGGATGTAAATCACACGTCTCGTGGTGTCAGACGCAATCCTCCAATGACATGAGCAAGGGGTTTACATACTCAAAGCCCTCGAATTCCGATTGATCGATGCTATCAATGACATGGCTATGGAAGAGAACAATATATTAGTAAAAATAATATATGAAGACCTATTAGACTGTCAAAAATCGATGATAGAGGAAGAGAATTAGAAGAAAAAACCAACTTACTCATCATCTGGTGTCAGCTGCACCGGTTCCCCGGTAAACTCGATCGGGAAATTAGCCAGATCGCGATCTGAGTCTAAGCGTGGCTTGAATGGAGGCGAAACCTGCTTGCGTTCGAGCTGCATGAGGTTGAAATTGGCGTTTGTTTGGTTGTGCAGACGAGTGTGTGTGTGTGTGTGTGTGTGTGTGTGTATAGAGGATATGCAAAGATAGAAAAAAAAAATGATTATAGCTAAAGATAGTGCCAGCCAATATCGGCAAACGTAAAAAACAAATTCAATAAGGCTCAGGACACATTTCAAATGCATGTCCGTGTGCGTTTCTCTGTGTGTGTATTGATGATAATGATGATAAGTAGATAGATCGAGCAGGGTAGGGGGCGTGTTCTTTATTTTTCGAGAGGGGGGGGGGGGGGTGGTTGGTTGATAATAGAGAATAGAGTAGGGGACAGCGGGCGGGTTCACAATGTGGCTGAGAGCGAACATTACCTGCTGTTAGTCAGACCGCGAATGCTATGAAGTTATTATTCGTATAAAATATTTTTGGGTATTGTCTCATGCGTCGTTGTACAAATAGAACAAAATAACCAAAACTAGAAGGTATTTCTTTTTTTTTCTGTTTTTTTTTTTTGACACAAAACTTACGGATCGTCTGGCGTCAATTCAGCCGGTTCTCTGGTAAATTGAACGTCAAAGTTTGTTGTCATATAAGGATCGCCAGGATCCAGGTTTGGTATATAAGGCGGTTGTACCTCCTTTTGTGCAATCTTTTTATACACAAAATTATATATAATAAGTTTAATACTTAATCATATGGGTTAAAATTGTCGCAATATTCATATTATACCACAAAATAAATAAATAAAATGCTAATTACATTTTTCTAGGATAACAAATGATTATCATATAAGGTTGTCTTCATACTATTAGAAAGGAAAATATTTTTGGAGAACTTATCACTAATTACAATATTTATTTCCCCATATGAATTCAAATGATGATGTATGTTTCATATAAGGATATAAATATACCAACCTATTTAAAGGTTCATTCACTTTTATACCCTACATATACATCCTTCCCTGTTCTATTTTGATTTCGAGAGTACCAAAAGACTTATTTTTCAAAAAGTTCCATTGCCCTGTCATTATTTACTCTAGCTTTAAGCAAAGGCCGATTTACATACATTTTGCAGACTTCAAGGAGATCATATATCCTATAAAGACGGACAGACAGACAAATTCTCTCTTTGGGAACAGGGTATATAAAAATGGGAAAAAGATAGCTGTGCTCTGCTTCGGATTAAGTTAAACATTAAATAATTACTTATAATATTTTGAGCTCTGTAAAGATTGGAGCACCACAAGTATCATCATTATTACCAACACTGACATCATCAAATACACACAAACAGATAGTGTCCATGCGTTGGCCTTAGACTTACCATTTCCCAATCAATAACCTTGAAGAACGGATGATTTACAATATCCATGAAGGCAGATTCGCGATGGCAGCCCAGGCGATCGGCAGGATTCTTGTTGAGGAAACCTTTGAGAACGGAGGCAGCTTTGACGCTCAACGAACGCGGTATGCGTATGGTCTTCTCCAGAATCACTTGGAATAGATAATCCTCAGTATTCTGCAATTAATGAATAAAGTGTTAGACAGTTGTGGCAGTTGGGTGAGTCCATGAAACATACCTGATCTGGATTTTCAGAAGCGCCGGCAATGTCGAAGGGACTGCGACCAGCGAGCATCTCGTACAGAAGCACACCGAGTGCCCACCAGTCCACCGAGAAGCCATAATCCTCGCCACGCAATATCTCGGGCGCAATATAGTTGGGTGTGCCGCAGAATGTGGAGGTGGTGTCACCCGGACGAATGCCCTCCTTGCACATGCCGTAATCGGTTAGCTTAATGTGGCCCTCATGATCCAGCAGCACGTTGTCCAGCTTCAGATCGCGATAGATGATGCCCTTCTCGTGCAGAAAGTTTAGTGCCAAACTGATCTCAGCTGCATAGAAGCGAGCGTGTTCCTCCGGCAAGCGACGTTGCCTTTGCATGTGGTACATCAAGTCGCCGCCGCGCACAAACTCAATGACAAAGAAGAGGCGCGAGGGCGTCTGGAAGCAAGAGTGCAGCCCCACCAGGAAGGGGTGATTAGAGGCTGTCTCAAAGACATGCTTCTCGGTCTGCACCCAGTCAATGTCCTCGTCATCGGTGACCAGCGCCTTTTTGATCACTTTCATCGCATAGATGCGACGCGTGCGTCTCA